AACCAAAACCGACCGTATTCCATTCAATGATAGAATTCAATGATTCAATCCTGCACCGATATTCATCTCTACTAAAACTTGTCAGAATAACAGCATTCATATTCCGATTTGTCAAAAGTTTCAAATGTCGCCAAGATCTCAAGTTGTGCCATGTCGTCACTCGTTCCGGTAAAGATGTCGCTACAGTGGAACCACGTCACCCAGTCCACAAGCAAGTTCGCCCCAAGTCCACAAAATCCACCACGAATGTGCCCCCTTTGACTCCAGCAGAACTTGACCAGGCGTTCTCATACTGGATTAAGCACTCTCAACAGCAAGAATTTTCCAAGGAAATTCACTCCCTCGCCAATGAGCTACCTATCAAGAAGAAGAGCAAATTAATTTCTCTGCTGCCCTTTATCGATTCAATAGGATTGCTCAGGGTTGGTGGTCGTCTAAAAAATGCCAAGATTTCTGAAGACCAAAGACATCCCATTCTCCTGTCATCCCATCATCACTTGACACAATTACTCATCAAATCTGAACATTTGAAACATTTTCACGCTGGTCCTCAGCTTCTGATGTCGGTACTTCAGCGGCGTTATTGGATCATCCGCATGAAAGATGCAGTCCGAAGAGAAATTGCAAAATGCTTGACATGTACCAGAACAAAGGCTCAAACTCTACAGCAAGTGATGGCAGACCTCCCTTCATTTCGCGTCAACCCAGCTCGACCCTTCCTGAAATGTGGAGTGGACTACGCTGGACCCTTTTCTGTTCGGCCCATCCAGCCTCGAAGCAAAATAACTCTAAAGGCATATCTGGCAGTATTTGTGTGCTGCACCACCAGAGCAATACACTTGGAAGTAGCTACCAGCCTCTCAACCGACATGTTTATCGCTGCCTTTCGCCGATTCATAAGCAGAAGAGGTCTACCCACGGACATGTACAGCGATAATGGTACAAATTTCATTGGTGCCAATCGCGAGATGAAGGAAATGGTTCAATTGGTAAATTCCTCATCCCATAACCAGCAAGTGGCCGATAACCTATCAAGAGATGGAATCCGATGGCATTGGAACCCTCCTGCCGCCCCCCATTTTGGTGGAAACTGGGAGATTGGTGTCAAATCCTGTAAATTTCACCTAAAGCGAATCATGGGATCGCACCGATTGACTTTCGAAGAACTGACCACTGCAGCGTGCCAAATCGAAGCGATCCTGAACTCCCGTCCGTTGACCCCTGAGTCCAACAATCCAGAAGACCTCGCCGCTCTTACCCCTGGACATTTCCTCATTGGTGCTCCATTAACAGCCGTTCCAGAACCGAACTTGTTGGATCTCAAAATCAATAGCCTTTCCCGATGGCAGTTAATCCAACAAATGATCCAGGCTTTTTGGAAGCGTTGGTCAGCCGAATATCTATCCCGACTCCAACAGCGCCCGAAGTGGATGAGTGGATCTCGAGCGATCGCAGTTGGCGATATTGTCGTCATTAAAGAGGAGAACCTACCCCCATGCGTTTGGAAACTTGGTCGTATCCTCGCCCTGCACCCTGGAAATGACTCATTAGTGCGCGTCGTCACGGTCAAGACGTCTACTGGTGTTTTCAAGCGTCCCATTGTAAGGTTATGTTTGCTCCCAATTGAAAATTCTTCCCAAGATGAAATTCTCTAATTTTTGTAATGTATACAGTTTTGTCAATTTTAATTTTATTGAAGCCGTTGGTTCAAGGCCGGCGGAATGTTGAGGAAGTTTTAAGTATTTGACTCCTGCATTTGTATTTTTAAGATTATGTATAAAAAGGTTGTATAATTCAATTTCCCTATCCTACCCTCTGACGCACATGCATTATTTATTAATTTGACTAATTAATATTAAAGGTAAATGACTAGTTAAGAGTTTGCGGCTTATCATTTTGTTCTGCTCTTCCAGCATAAATGTAATTTACTTACAAGTCTCCATGTTAATCATAACCTTGTCCGGCCATTCACACGAAGCTTATAAATATTGGTTACAATTCTTATCTCGATGTCACTCTGTTGTCCATGGTCTACCAGTTACTTTGTCACTCAAGCTCTTAAGTCGCAAACTGCCCCAAATAAATAATTTAAGTGACATATAACTGCTTTGTCTCAACGTGCCTCATTTCAAGAACGAGAGATTTACATCACACAGCATCATTACCAATCACACAATCAGGGAACTTTGCATTCTCAACAATGAGTGACCATTGTGTTTTCTTAGTTTCACTTTGTATCGCGTTATGTGGGCTAATTAATGAACTTGCACGGGATGCTATTAACTACGCGCAGTAAAGATAAGCATTCACGTAGTTCAGCTTGCCTCATCATTTTACTGCCGTCATTACCACACAAACGTCTGTTTCTTTTGTGTAGCTTATGAACGTTGTTGTTCAGAAACTGATCGACAGGTAGTCGACGAGGCTTAATCGTCTAGCAGAACAACGTTGTGCGTTAATTGAGCGTACATCATATATACTTTTTACATTTGCTTGTAGTTTGCGTTGCACATGTGGCTGTAAAAGTTAAGCACATTAAATACTTAATTTGCCATTTGCATGAGAGTTAATAACAAAATTGGATTGTCCTGTCTGTTTGAACAACTACCATTTACGTACGTACATACGTAACCAAACCGGGTTCGAACAGTCTTTTCAAGTCGTGTTACATCAGATTAAAGGAAAAATAAGGAACAATAGACGAGTGTCAATAATTACCGTTGATTTTATGGGTGACCTATGGATGCTCAATTTAATATTGTTAAGGCAAACAATGCTTTTCACATCGAGTTTTGTTCCAATTATCGGAAATTTACTTGTTTGGTTCTTCCCTCTCGGAGTGATTGTATTGTTGAGCATTAAGCTGTGTTGCATGGGTTGAAAGCTAAACTTTATTTAATGATAACCTCTGAGAAAATTACCAGACAAACATTCATAGAAATTACTACTCTTCTGACCACAATTTTGATTCCACTATTTGAGAGAAGCCAGAACTTTTAGTATACTTTTTTTATTTCTACATTACATACACGTTGTTCATATGGCAGACAATTGTGTATGGTTCAAGTTTAGGACTCTTCTTGCTTCTTTGTGAGTTTCATATTTTGGAGAGATTTGATGAGTTGAGTACAACTTTTGAGTTTTCATCCCAACTTTCATTGTACATATATTGGGTTACCACGAACGAACATGAGCATGGAAGAACGAAGCATTAAAATTACACTACTGCGGGTAAAGGATATAAGGAGGCGGAGATGAGAATGATATATTGAGAAAAAATTTGACGCTGAAATGCTTCCCATAAGTAATAAAATCCACCCAGCTTAATGCACCGGACGTCTGGTTCAGCTTTCTTCGCCCCACAACAACAATGATGGGCACTGCCCATTGTGCATACGTAATCCACATCTTTCCTCGCAAGTCAGTTGAATTTCGTTTGAAGCTCTTTGAGTCTGGTATAAATAACGGCCTTTAAATAAAACCAAGTTTATAAGCTCAAAACATGTTTGGGTCGTGTAAAACCCTGGGTTTGTGTTCCTCTCAATTACATACTTATGTCAGGTTGTTGTTGGGTGAATGTGGATCTGGAACAGGTATTTAAAAATTAGGTTCAGTCATCATAACTTTGTATATTTTCAATCTCCACTGCACAGAATGCGTAGTGAGTTCAGAAGTTAAAATCATTTCACTTCAATCTTGCTAATAGACAGTCTGTCTCACGAGCAAGACAATTATGGCGAGCAGTTTCAGCATGCTGGAAATAAAACATGAGACCTTTTGAACCTGCTGGAGGAAAGTGGTGTAACCCTTAAGGAACGATTGTAACTCGTGAGTTATGAGCCGAGTCTACGCATTATATTCATTCTGGACATGTTTGGATGAAATAATGATAGGGTAACTACGCCACGGCCCGCAAGTCTCTCAAAATGAACCTTTTTCAGCTTTCCAGAAACCTTTCCATCAAGTTCCTTATTCCTATTTTTTCGCTGCGGATATTATTTCTTGGATGCATTGCAAAAGGTACAAAATAATGTGGTGGTTATCAATTCAATTTTCTGCTCTTTCGTATGTTACCTTGATTTTATATCAACAAAATCACAGAATTTCATAGAATTTTTATAAAATTGAGTGTTTACCGTAATTCGATTTTATATACAACTTTTTACGTCTTTTGACGTCAAACTGAATGCATTGAATAATTGAATTCATTTCTGGTTCTTTCTGTTCCATCTCACCTAAAATGATAGGCTGCGTAAATAGCCAAAGCCGAATTGATATGTTTATTGATATAACATCATTCTGTCCCTCTCCTTCATAAGAGCAGTTACAGGAAAGTGGATTATAGTCGAAAAATGTATATAAAAAAGCGTGTGCTCGTATTTGCATGGGTACAGTGCTGTCTTTATCTATGAATGTACATGTGCATACACGACAATACACGTACGCATTACTGATTACTGCAGATCTTAACGTATGTTACAAATCTTGATTAAGCGATCTGGCTTATCAGCTTAGGATTAGGTCAGCCTGTCTGGACGGATCTTGGGATTAGCGGAGGTTGTGATATATCCGTTTTTATTTTATTTCAGACTAATATAAATAACACGCTAATTAATCCATCCAATATGAACACATACATCTTGTATTTTGAGTAAATTGTACCGAGATCAAATTTTGAATGTGTTTCTTTTATATTAATACACGTGTGCGACTGTATATATATACACATTTATGTCATTGTCGTGCAAACTTTTACTTGATTTATGGCTTTAATAATGGTGAACTTTATCTCTGTAATATTTTATACCGGAGACACCGCACCGACACAGTAATAGAGATTGCTAAGGGTAATATATTTCTGGGTGAAAGAAACGCGCACGCACATGTGTCCTAAATTGCCAAGGGACGACTTAACTATCGGACTTATAATCTTGCGAAATCGCAATATTTCTCAAAACCACCAGGAGATGGTAACACATATTTTGTACTTTTTATTACAGTTGCTGAATGAAGACGTAACAACAGAGAAATTTATTCCTATCGTTTGTCCTCGAGCCTCAGATCTGATGTAAGTTTAATATTCAATCATGAACTTTCGCAGACAATTTCTGTGTACATATAATGAAGAACAACAACAATGGCGATTTATTTATTTATTTATCCTTTCTTTTTCAGCGCATCTTACGATGAACACGTGCTGGTCAATACGTACAAATTTGGAGTTGTCCTACAAAAACCTGGACAGACGACGGAGGAGGATCTTTTTAGTAACAGAAGTTCGGAGAGTTTGGACCACTTTCTAACGGTCTTGGGCGAGCGGATCCCACTTACAGGACATGAAGGGTGAGTCATGAGTAAATTAAATAACACGAGCTTATTTTCTTTTATTGGCCATTTTCTTAGCAAGAACTATGTAGGGACGTTTAATAGGAGAGGAGGATTTTATTGCACGTGGTAGACCTAGACGAATAAGGCTTTTCCATTCTTTCCGAAATGAGATAAAAAAGTTAACATTTCCGAACAAGATGAATGGTTTTTAGTGTCAGCGACAGTGAGACTTGGTTAGTGTGTTCGTGAAGCTTCCGTCTTTCGTTTACTGACCCATTGGGTCGATGACCACATTTAGGCGCAAAGTAGTTTCAAGCGTTGACAATTCTTGTATGGTTTCACTCACAAAACTTTTCCAACCGTAAGATGCAGCTTGTGCTTTGCATTTTATTAGAGATGTGGAAGCTCATTTCAATGAGTTTCTAGAGTTGGGGAGAAGGAACGAAAGTGAATAAGTAGCATATCGTTTCTGACGCAGCGTTTGCATTCAGAAACCTGAGATGAACTCAGTTTATTTGAATTTGCTCAGTAAGAGAAATCCGGTGGCGGTGGCCTACTTCCACTTTACTTACTCTTCCAGTCTACAAGTCAACAGTTACAGGTCAATATATTGTAGTGTTGGGAATAAGAGGTCGATTCGCGATCCTTGCTCCAAAATTGAAGAGAAAGTTTATACATCCATATGTGCATTAACATTATATACGAAGGAGAACATGTTAGGATGTGACTTTTACTTGTGTAACACTTTGTACATGTATTTCTCTCCCCATTTCGTGTGTAGATACCGTGGAGGACTGGACACCCTGCACGGTCAAACGGGAGAGGAGTCAGTTTACCATGTTTACCAAAACAGAGAGATCATGTTCCACGTCTCTCACCTCCTTCCGTTTATGGAGTCAGATCCACAGCAGTTGCAGAGGAAACGACATATCGGTAGGAAGGAACATACACTTCAAACAAATTTGAGCACGTCAATCCAATAACAGACTTTCACCGTCCATATGTTTCTCACACTTTCTTTCAGGAAATGATATCGTCGCTGTGATTTTCCAAGAAGAAAATACCCCTTTTTCACCTGACATGATTGCTTCCCATTTCCTTCACGCTTTCATCGTTGTTCAAGTTATTGAACGCAATGGCCCAAACACGAGGTAAGTAAGAGAGAGAGAAAGCGAGTGAGAAGGGTCCTATTCCGAAAATTACAATAGAAATAAAGTCAACTTCCTGCGAATGGCTTTCGTTTTTTCATTTCATTAAAAGATAGCACATGCGTAAGGAAACTATCTAGTAAAATTTGTTATCAGGAAGTTTGAGGTTTCTACTAAAATTCTTATAAAGATCTTATAAAGTAGAATAAGATATTTTTAGTAGAATTATACTAATATTCTTATAATTCTTATGATATTTAGTACATAATTTCATATGAACGACATTTACATTAGCACAAAGGGCAATTTAGAGCTCTGAGAAATTGAAGAAGAGAGATATTTAAGGCGTTCACTGGTGAGAAATAAGTCTACGACTTTTTCCGTTGTCGACATTGGACTGAGGCACGTAGTTAGATGAATCCCTACGGAGCTATCACCCATGTTTGACTTGCTTCATTGTTATTTTCCAAGAAGAAAATGTAATAAAGTGGGAGCAAAAGTTATTTACAAGTTGGTTCCCTTGTGTTTTCTGCAGATACAAAGTGAATGTTACGGCCAGAGATGACGTCCCTTTTTTCGGGCCCGTAAGTATACATACTTTGTTAATTATTGTACATTACAAGTTATATATATATATATATATTACTCCACTATTAGTTAATTATTATATGACGAAATTTTATTTATTTCCAAAGACTGTTCCAAGTCCACCAATTTTTGACAATGGTCCCGAACTTCGAGAATTCCTCCTCACCAAACTCATCAATGCTGAATCCGCTTGTTACAAGGCTGAAAAGTTCTCCAAACTTGAGGTATTGACCTATTCAAGTATTCTATTCAATGCCAAATTATTTTGGAAATTCTTTTCTACATGTTCCAAATGCCTTTCGTTGTCTCAAAAGTTAGTCGCATTAGCGTATGAATTTTATTTATTTATTCTGATCAATGACACCGCGATCCTGTTTCGATTAGAGGGAAACGTGTAATCACTTGGAAAATAGTTAATACTTCATCATTCCAGCAGTCCCGAACTGTAAAATCTCCATCAGTACTCCTTTCAACGCAGAATTTGCATTATGCATGTATGATTTTGCAAAGTAGAAAATGAGTTGTCTAGCCTAGTTTTCGTAAAGTATTTATGCACGCGATTGAAAAATGCGTTGGTTTATCTGCACGAACTGTTCTCAATTTCAAAGTGTGGATAATATGTAAGGACAAATTGAGGTTTTATCCACCTGGGACGAATGTATTTATTTCCCGACGAACCAAAATCTGCAAAATACTGTAGTAAATTTGTACCAATGGATTAATGCATATTCACCGTTAAAATGGCAAGGTGATTCGTACTAATTTTGTACAAGTCGCATGTACAAAATTCATACCAAAATATTGTCAATACAACTTTATTTGTACAAAATATGTACAAAATTTACACAAACAAGAATGTATGAAATTGATGCGAATTTGGTGATAATTAATATGCATTAATATGATGCGAATTTAGTACGAATTTAGTGCGAATTTAGTGCTAATTGTGTGCTAATGGTACGTATGAAATTAATACACATTCATTTACACATATTGTATTAGTTAAATTTCAATTGTTTATTTATTGCAAATTCATCTACATACTTTATTTTTACAATAATTAATTATCCGACTTTGCTTACCTTCGCAGTATAGATAAGTGCTTCTAAAGTATTCACCCCAGTCTCTTCTTCTGATAATTTTGGGCCTGGATTTGTATTTGTCACTAGAGTCGATAGATTTATTTTTTGTGTACTTTTTCAATTTCTTGATGGCCTTCTCTTCCGAATCTAGTAAATACCTTCGTATAAGTAAACTGCATATGTATGTACATAAAATTAGCTAAGAAAAAACAATACCTATGGTTCGACATATACACAATATGCCATAACTCGTCCAATCTTTTCCGGGGAGAACGCAGGGGTCACTTTTAAAACAGGAAAAACCCTTGGGGATAGGAGTAGGAAACTTGCACAGTTTTATCCTTGGAAATCCACGTAGATGGAACAACCTCCACCCCTTGGTCAATCTCAAACTTGAATATTACGAAGATTTTTCAAATTGTCCGACACAGGATCGATCGTATCTATCTAAGAAACTTTATTAAAATTGGAAATTAAAAATAGAGAAGAAGTTCTTGAGTTGATATTGCCACATGGCCAAAAGAGTGACTGACTCGTGTTTGGTTTATTTAACGGAAAATAGAGAAATGATTAATAATTTAGTACTAAAATATTGCAGAATAATCTATACAAATTTTATGTGAAGATCTTTGTCCCTGTTTACTGCATTTGGATTTGTACAATTTGCTGGGTACGAATTATGCATGAATTTAGTGCAAACAATCTCGTGAGAATTTAGTGCCAACAAATACGCACTAAATTTTCACTAGTTCCTTCGTAATAATTTGGTACTTATTAATTTGTGATAGTTTAGTGGATTTCGTGTGGTAATTTATTAACATCACACAAATTCATATAAAGATTATTAAGGGATAAGCAATTTTTCTGGGCCCTGCAGCACCCATTTTTTTTGTTGCCACGAGCCGATTTGTAACCATTTAATTTTAATTTTAACTCAACAACGGTGAACTTGATATAGCCCGAGCCGAGCTATTCATATTTCTGTTAATTTCAAAATCTCATGTCTTTTCGTATGGTATTTACCAGTAATATTAATTATTTAAAAAAACTACAGTACAGATCTCATTTTTCCTTAGTCCTAGTCGGGAACAGAATCCGCTTCTAAATTTTTGAAGTAATTACAAATCTGCCCCCTTCACCACCAACACCCGTGGGGCTCGCTTCGTTAAAATCTTGAACATCCAAAGTTGTATTTCGTACGCAGACGTAGTTTTAAAAATTGCTATGGTATGGAGGCTAAAAATTTCTCGGCTGAAACCCCTACGGATCATACCAAATTTCAGTCTTCTACGACCGTTTTAGAAAACCAGTGGGGGTGACCCTACTGGGTGATTCAAATAGTAATTCGGTCATTACATTAGCTGTATCCATAGTCCGTGATTTGTTCATGATTTCGTCATAATTTTCAAAAAATATTTTTATTCCGATTTTCTGATTGGTCGATTTTATAACTCTTATGGTGATTAATATGCTGAAATCATGAACCTGTGAAAGCATCACCAAATCACTAACAAATCATGGACTATGGATTATGGATGCAGCTATTGTACACTTTTGTACACATTTGTGCATATTGATTGGGAAATGGATGATGGATTTGATTTGAATTTCAGCCCGCACGTGTTTTCTGAGAAATTCCATCACGCTTAACCATTTCCCAATCAATAGTGCATATGACCAATGTCTCGAATATCGGTCTACCAACTTTTAGAATACCAACTTTTAGAAAGGGGTCACCCTATGGGCCACTCTGGTTACACCTTGCTCACTTTTAATTGCATACTCTTTCATGAGAAGCAACCTCTTTACCAAATTTCAACTCGATATGACGATTTTTAAAAATCGGTATGGGTCACTCCCTCGGGTCTCTGCAGACAAAAAGTTCTCCCATCTCAATCAATATTCTTTTTTTAGGAGCCATTAGTAATCTCTGTACCAAATTTCAGCTTTCTGTGACAATTTTGAACTTTTGGTGATAATACCCGACCCATCCAGACGACCCACACCGGTCAACCAGTTAACTGATTTGCTCATCTTCGTACTTAACTCACCATTTGCCCCATACTACATGTGTACCAAATTTCAAGTCGATAGGATAAGGTTAACGGGAGTTATCATAATCCTGATATACAGACAGAAGGACGGACACGACGGTTCCAAAAGTCCTGGCTCGGGCTAATTTTATCATCACGATAATAAAATAAAATTCAAATATGTTACATAGTTACCATAATTTGGTATTTTTGGGTTTGAGTACTGCATATTTTGTCAAAACCGACCCCCTTCGGATGTGATTTTCACATCGATGCCAACATGGAGGATTTCTGAGACATACATCAAAATGAAGAAGAAGACTTGTACGATTTTTTAAAAGAAATTTCACAAATCCTCCATGCTGGCAACATGGTCAAAATTCAGGCCAAAGAAATACCTTTGTCCCTTAACAATCTTTTGCACAAATCTTGTACAAATTAATGATTACATGTTTTTATGCACAAAAATTGCATAAATTTGCACTGGGATTCGCAGTAAATTCGCATTGAGGTTACTTGGGTTATTAGTCTTTTGTTTCTAATATTCTCATACGTGTAATTAGTTCCAACTAACCACGATTAACTGACATCGTTTCTATGGGCGGTGCCCCATACGGTTGCGACAAATGAATTATTTTGAAAAAAAAATTCATTTTTAAATCTTTGGGCCGAAAGTCCCCTTGTCCGGCCCAACGACTTTAACCTTGAATAACTTTTGAACAGGCAGACATAGAGACTTAATTCCTGAGGAGGAAATCATCCTAATTTTTAGCTTGATTTTTTAAGCTAAAAATCTCGAGTGTACTATTTCGATAGCTAAAACGTTTATTTTGAAGAATATCTCCAAAATATAAGTTTTTCAGCCAATACTTATCTCACAAAATTCTATAATATACCAAAGTGATCGTATGATCTAGACCGATCGATTGACACCCCACTGGAGGGTGTGGGATCACTTGACCCGGATTTGACCTAGGGGGTCATCTCAATCATCAACTTAGCAACGGTCCACTCACACTATTTTTTCAGTACATAATAATTAAAATTTAATTTCTTCAAAAATGAAAATTTGTGTTGGAAACAATTCATTTGTCGTAACATGTATAGAATGATAAAGTGTCAAATAATATTGCCAACTAACAGTAGGGTAAACAAAAAACGTAGTGTGCAGTGTTGATTTAGCTCGACTCAGGGTTATTATACTTTTAAATCTTTGTCAGATGACCCAGCTACGATTCATAATCGTCAAAAATATTCCACAAAGAATGTAAATTTAAAAAAGTTAATTCAGAATGCAAAATTTCAGTTTTGTTTCGACAATGCATATAGAATAGTCCAGGTTTCCGCCACCAATCTAATATATATGAATATTTATTAAATGACTTATTTTACTTTTTCAAAAATGTTAGATGAGAACGAGGGCTTCCCTTTTAAGTTCGTTGGTGGACGAAGTACGGAGAAAGTCTGTCGAGTTTCTGGGATCGTGCGGATCGATAGACTCCATGGGGAACGGTACCGGAGTTAGTACTGGAAGTGCTGGAAGTCGATTTATGGAAACTGTACGAAAAGGTGATCTATAGCATTTTGCTCATTTATTGCATAGAATCAAATACTAAAGAATTCAAAAAGTTCATTAAAATTTACAATTACATGAGTACAATTTGGATTACTTTTTTCAGCTCTAAGTTCAGCAAAGAACAATTCTGCGACAAACAAAGGCTTGGGTGACTCTATGGGGTTCAATTTATCCTCCTCCTCTACGTCGTCAACCCCGGCGGCTTCTAGCATTCTTACCAACGGTCATGGTCTTCATCATTACAATTCCATTGGAAACAAGGATCCAACAACAGCTACGAATGGTCACTCAACCAGTGGGACAAACAGTAACAACAGTTCTATGAAATTGAGACACAGTATCCACAGTAGTGCTAATGGATCCCCTGTTGTCGATGTAAGCAGCAGTTCGTCGACTCTGCAGGTAATTTGTTATATTAACTTATTTGTGCTTTGGTAATGTACTATTTACATATTTATCATTTACAATTTATTTAGAGTTACCGAAATGGTACTGGAGAAACTACAGTGATAACCTCCGTGAATGGATTGGTCAAGAGACCACCAAGCCCACCAGTTTCTGTCTCCAGTCCGGATACGCCACCTCACTGTTCCGCAAGGTACACAAGTCAATTTCTGTTAATGTCAGGGTTCTTATTGCTAAATGATGACACCAACTTTATGGATTTATTTCCTGTGTACAGCATCCGAATTTCCGAAAGTGACGACTCATCTCTGAATAGTGAAGAACTTGAAGGATCTGCTGCATCACACCATCACCATCATTTTCACAAAGCCAAGTGCATAAAACCCTTCAAAGGCTCCAACGAAGATTCTGACACTGGTTTAGAGTCGATGTCATCTGCAGGAACACCAAACAAGCGTTCGTGCTCGCTATGTTTAGAAGACGAATCAAATGCCAAAACAAATGACGGTTTAAAACATGAAATTAACAAACTTAAATGTGACAAACTTGATCTACTGCGTCAAAACGTGGTATGTAAATGCATAGTAATTAATAATATGTGATTAATCCACCTCAGACTAATTTGTTATTAATTCAATATGAATGCATTTTAAATTTCTTAGGCGTGCCAGAGAGATATAAAAAAGCTGAAGGAAAAAGAACTTCAAATCCATGCCGACTTGCAAGCTGCTTCCAAAGAAATTTCTCGCCTCAGAAATCTGCTGAAAGAATACGGATCAGAAGGGTCCATCGTTTAATCGCATATATCGTGTGAAAATGGGGCTTATCTGCTTGTCAAGTTAATCCACGGTTAATCAATTCTTTTATCAGTTCAATCAAGAACCCAAAGCTAAATATTTAGGTAAACTATAAGAATGTGTACATAGAATAATATTTAGAGATGTGTTTATTATTCCTAAGTACAGTACATATGTATTTAATAATAATGCCTCATTGATTCTGTTAACTTGTTTAAATGCGTATTTATGGCTCTAGTCATTGTTAACAGTTAAAAATCACAAAGTTTGGCTTATTTCAGTTTATTATTAGTGTGGCTTGATCGAGCGATAAAAGAGTGGTAAATGATCAAGTTTTTTATGGGTTACCATTCATGTTGAAAGAAGCATGTTATTTACCAGTAGATATCCACAAACGGCACACATTCTGCATCATTTATACTTTGGTTCAAATTAGATAAGTTTGCTTACAGTGTACAAAACAAATCACACGCAAATGTATTTTAAAACTGCACATACTCTAAGATTTCGCGATTTGATATGATGGATGAGTGAGTTTGTTCTCGTGAATGAGGAACATGCATAAGACTTTAGTTTGGTATTAAAATATTATTACAAATTTGACATTTCACGTTATGGTTCGTTAATTCGGGTTTATCTGTAAAAATACTCGGCAAAAACTGTTGTCACCCCACTCTCTTCGTTGTATATTTCCACTTTGTATCTTGTGAGACTATATATAGAAGTATGCCACATGTCCATCTTACTGTGTTTACTGGAAATTAATTATGTTATTCTACTCTGCCTTCATTTCCAGTCTTCATAATAATATTTACATTTGTATGTCTGCGTACTATTATTCTTATTACATCACTTTGTCAAATTGGCAATTTCACTCATGTAACTTTTTCTATCTCTAATAGAACAACCAACTCTCTGGACTGATCCTAACCCAATAGTTTCCAATTCTTTTTACGTATTTTAAATGGTCGCTGGCTACTGCGACACCTTGTACCTCTTCTTCCAGTACAACCTAACTGCCTACACGTATTTTTTGTACAAGAGAACTTTGTCTATGATAGAACATGAAAGTGATGAAACTTCTTTGAAAATTAACTTTATCATCCAGTATCAAACCATCTATTAATACATATTCATTGTTGTTAGTTATTCAATCTCTACATAGGTATACAAATAATCTTTAGAATAAGAAACCACTATAATGTTTTAGTTTATAATAGCTGTAGTTGGTTATTCCTCCTCCTCCTCCAGATTATGTCACTTGTGATGCAGAATTCGTAGTTTGGAGAAACGAAATTCCAAATAAATTACCATTTGCTGTTACCAAATTATGCTCTCCAAAATATGTAGCTTGCATTGAATTTATTTAAATCATTCTTATACATTCCTGGCTTCAAATTCCGGCTACAATTTTAATAAATTGTTGCTTCATCATGGTGGGATACTCTCCTACCGAAAATTGTGATTTTGACCATGGCTAACTTTCTTGCTGAAGATTTATTAGAACTTGGTTCTCAGTCAACCGATTGTCAAATAATGTTCTGTCTGTGTGGTTCATGATTCGGGAATTGTTCAGTAGTTGACGTGGATTAAGGGGATTAACAAGTCTTGAAATATATTTACCAAAATTGAACTTTCTATAAAGATGGAAGTCAATAATTTTGAAACATTTTTTCCATCGACAACAACACCAACGCCAACAACATCGTCTCACCCCACAATCATGTACAGTCAGCCCTTCTCCCAACCACAAACAAGTGAAGAAAGTTTCTCATCAACAATGTCAACAGTACCGGATGTTCATAGTTTTGAGACTCATGTGGCCACACTATCTTCTTCCATAACTTCGTCTGGAGGTGGTATAGAGTTGTCAACCAGCGACAACAAAGGCTCTGATTTTGAAGCATTTGAGAAAATCTTGTTTGGCAGTCATTACGATCATGATTTTGCAAGTGACGAGTTGGAAGAGTTGCTGAAAGACTGTGATGCCATAAGTTTTGACGATGCCTTATCAATTAAACAAACTACAAATAGCGTGTCTCAATTTGCCTCCACGGTTGAAAGTGTAAACCCTCATTTTACATTCACATTTCCCATTGTCTCTTCCCCCAACAATGAACATGTCTCGTGTATAAGAAAAGTAACAATTGGTAAGTATGCAAATTTTAAATATAATTTACTGATAAATGGGGAAAATCACCATATTCATGAATTTAATTTCCACTCAGAATTCTCTTCGACGTCCAGTGTGCATCACGTCGCTGAGATACGTTTCTCGCACGATGGATCCCAAATCCCTCCCCCTCAACCCCGAATAACCTGTCATAAACAAAAAAATAAGGGCACACGACGAGGAAAGACGACTGCGCAACCACGAAGGAAGCTGTCATCTTCAGGGGCAGTTGCTGTGCCGAAGAATCCAAAGGCAAAACCTAGAACAGCAGTGGGGACGACGTCGTCATCTAAGACGAAAAGGGGTGCAGCGAAAAAGAAGGAAGGCGAAGCTAAAAAGACGAACGGCAAACCCAAAAAACAAACCACCAAGAGAATAGTTGCGAGAAAGGCGAAGGTTGAGAATGAAAAAGTCTGTCCAATGCAGTGTCGAGTAGTTTTAACGAGATTGCCAGAAAGTCAGTCACTGTCACTGTCACGTAAGTCGGAAAGGATAAAATATTATCCTTATCAGAAATATGGATCTGATAATTATTTTTGATCTGGAAGCATCAATTACGCAATATACGTCTTTTTAAATCTGAATATTGAATTGATCTTACGTCATGTGTGACTTTACTGCAAACACTTTAAAGTAGGCAGCCCAAGGTTTAGGGTTATTTGGAGCATGAATGCAATTATGTAGATAATTAGTCTATATCATATCAAGTCTATAATTAGCAGTTCATAGTTGTGCAACATTGATTACATATAAGTAAAACGAGATTTTTATTTAGTATTTTCGTAGTTGGTCCGGACAACTTTGTATAATATATAAATGACGATATACAGCTCGATTGTTAAACACCTGATTAATTGCGCCTTTAATAAACATCAAGTTTTGCTGTTCTATTATTACAATTTGCTATTCTGCGATTCTATTTCATTTGGTATAAAAATGCACAAAATCGGTTCTGTACACATGTGGTTGGTTATTACAACAAATTTGTTTCCATCACTGACATATTGATTTTGAATGTAGCAATGCTGATAAATAAAAATGTCCAAATTTCATATACTATAGATTATTATCAGAAATGTGCTGCGACGTTGTCGTACTATATCACAAATTTCGACTGTATTCACTTTTCCCCAGTGTCCTTCTTAGTTTTCCATTCCAAAATTTTCTGCTTCAACTCTGTTGCATTCTGGAGCATGTCTTCCGACAAGGGCTGTCTATTAAATGGATCTGTGTTAGAATTCAGGAGATGTCGTCGAATTACAGATCGGTCCATAACTTTTCCAGAGGGCAGTAGTACTGGATCTTCCATCAGTGTATCCATCAACGGATCTGCATAGACACGTGGTATCATCATATCATAGTCATAACCTTTGCTTGAGTATATGTATACATACATATAATTACTTACCTCTAAATTCATCAGGAGCATCACTGTAGTCCGTTTCTTTTCTGAAATTCTGGACTGCAATATTTTGTGCTCGTTGACTTAATGACCTAAACTGACTTAGCTGGGATTCATTTTTGATGCTTCTCTTTTCCATAATGGATGCAGCTTCCTCGAACAATTCTTTTGTGAATGAACGCTATTTTTGTATTAAACAAAAAGAACGATTAATATTAGAACTTTCCTTTTACAGTCAACTTTCCGTTCGTTGCGACCAAATTTATCGTTACCTCATCTCCGGCTAATGCAGCAGCAAATTTGTCACAATCCAAGTGCAAATATATATCGACTAGCTGAGACAACAATCGGCGAGGCTCCCTGTGAACAAAAATCCAGAACATTGTTGCGACTTGTTATAAATTGAGGAAACTAATATTCATATTCAAATACTCTCTTTCACACACATAAATAATTAACATCTTTCAGAATAAATTTTAATTACCAAGTATATTTCTCTCCATTTTTTACTTTTAAGTTTTTGCACTTTGAGCCGGTCAACTGAGTAAGGTTGAAATTAAGCATGGCAGACAATCTGTCTACTAGCTCTGGTCGCAAAAACGGTTCTATGATCTCTGTATAATAAAAAACAATACGAACAACTTAAATTACTTTCAAATTTTGGTAAAACCTAAGGTTACCTTCAGTCAGATAGTGGAACATGTCAACAGTTTCTCTGGCAAGTGTCAAGTATGACCTACATTGTCGTTCATCCGTTTGTAGTTGCCTAATTCGATTTTGTTGGGTTTCTTGAGAGAGAGCAGCCCATTCAGTCACATTATTCTGCTGATCCTGTACTTCATGAATCCTCTATATAAATAATAGCATATTTTTAATTCCGTTCTTATATGAAAAATGTTGAAAGGGTTGAGGCAAAATGGAAATATCGATTAAAATACCTTCAGGGAATCCAAACTTTCGTCTAACAAAAATGTTGTGTCGTTCATCAACATATTAATAAACCGGACGAATTGTTTCCCTGAACCGGATTCTTGAACAAGTGCCCTCCTTCATAGTGACATGACAAAAGTTTACAAATGTCATCACACATGTAATTAACACTGAAGTATTTAATTAACAATTACTCACCGATGCACTGGACTAGCCCACATTGTTTTCAGGATGATACTAATGTGATAACGAATGGTGAACTTGTCATAAAACTCGGAGCTAGCGCCAGTTGTTTCGACGTCTGTATAAAACTTCATTAAGGATGACGGCAAATATAATTCTGCTATGGGGTGCGCCATTATCTTTCCATACAGCATTGAAGTCCGATCACCTTGTACTTGAGGATTGATGACAAAGAGAACTTCCACCTTATTAGACCAGATAAATGTCGCATATTAAACTAGAGAAAGAGTTTAGACTAAACCGATTAAATCAACACTCACCAGTTTTGCAGCTAAATATGGGTTCCTCATGTAATGAGGAGTACACAGCATCATCAAAAGCCACAAAATCATTGAATTATCCAAGCCGCCTGCAACAATGACAGTAGAGTATCTGCGATTCAAACAATTTTTTATAATATTTATCACTTCGCCACGATGACTTTATTCAATAATTAAATATGTTGTGTGACTTACTGAAGCGTGAAGAGCAAAAATTCTGCAATGTCTTCCACGTACCACTCTGGCAAGTAAGCGAACACGGGAGGAACTTCGTTAGTTAACGGTAGGTTAGGAGTATCTCCAGGACTCAAACCAGGCATCACAACCGAGTTCAAATACTCGGCAACATTTGAATAAAACATCAAACTTCGCCTAATAAATTCTTCATGGAGCACCACGACATCTAAACCTTGTTTCGCTTGAACCATTAACTAAAAACACAACAAATGGTTATACGCGCAGATATTAGATAAAAAAGCTGCCATAAATATGTAATGCTTTCATATGTACCTTGACTTCCTGCTTCCAACGCTTGATCAGTTTTTTGTTTCTCTCAGCGAGTGGACCATTTTTCCACGTTTGTTCTGTTGCTATCAGTTCTGCCAACTATGCATATGGCGACATATTATGTTACTATACCTGTGTTAATATACTTCTCCAAATCATTTAATCTATTCACTACTTACCATCTTTTGAAGCTCTCGCATTTGTCTAATTATCCGCTGGTAAGTACTAAAGCACGGAATTAAAGCAACATGATGCGCCTGAAGGGTCAAGAACCAACAAATAGTCGGAAATTTTGGTTCCGTCCATGAATGATTACCATTGGCTGTGTAATATAATGAAGAAAAAGGTAGTAGTTAGCTTTACAATTGAATAATCACCAAAATGTTTAAATTAATCAATCCTCACCCAATGATGCAATCCAATCCTCCAATTCCTTTGTCTCTCCTTTAATACGGGTGTCACTCTTTAACTCCACCAAAGAATTAGGATGAAATGGATAATAAGGATCGATTTTGTCGAGTTTGACTTTGAACGAAAGAAGTTGCAGTACTGACAAGTAATTCAGCATGGGACCGTCTGAGCAAATTTCGCGTCGATCGCTCTGCATTTTTGTTCGTCCAGAGTTACGGCGTAAAACTTCGGCTAAATATTTGATACAAATATCTCGGCTTCCTTGATTGCTCAGAATACCATGAGTGATCTTGTGAAGCGATCTCTGCGTAATGTAATAATTTATAAATAGTTGGTTGTAATCAAGTGAGCATAGACTATTTTTCGTTTAATCAGTACAAGTAAGTATACAAGGGATGGCTTACTCTGGTAAATTCTAATTCATTTTGTAGCGCCGTATTGAACGACGGTTGTGCTTCGCCACTGAAAAACTGTTCCGCCAGTTGTGGATCGTCGTCAAGCAAAACGGACACGCCGAAGTATGGTCCAAGATAAGACAATCTACAAACTTCATGACCTACAGCCCTAGTTTGGGGTTCAGGGATGAAATTTTCCTGTATACACAGTGACAAACAAACAGACAAATCTCAAATTACATCAAATTGCTACGATGAAGCCTAGATTTATACGATTAACTATAATTATGGTAAACAATTTTACCAATTCTGAAATAAGCTGTGCAAATGGGCGAACAGATCCTCCTTCAAGAGCAATTCGAATTTCGCAAAGATGTTCCAAAGCCATGAGAGGGGGTCGGTGTTGATTGTCACTAGAAACAATATTGCAATAGTTTAAACGGCAATTATAAGCTTAGGATTGTAAGTATTCACATACCTAAGCGAGCCAGATCTCATCTTTTGCCATAATCCCCTCAATACTGGGATGAAGATTTGTTTGAACGAGTTGTATTCTTTGTAGTGTTTGACTGCCAAATCGTGTAACAGACCAGTGGGTACGGTGTCCTTGATTAGGGGTATCACCAAAGGGGAATTCGATACGGATCTTTCTCCAAATGCTCCTGATATTGTTATAAAGTATAGTGAATGGTAGTAACTTGTTTAGTTCTGCTAGAATCATTCATACCTTGAAGTACCAGCCCGATAAAATCCGTACAGTTTTGCCGAATGTCATGCAACAGTTGATGCGTCTCAGGCACTTGATATTTCTAAATCAGCCAAAAATACAATTTTAATCAATAAATATTACTACGTTTGTATAATAGAAATAATAGAATTATCTCCTGCTTGACTACCTTTGGATAGTTTCTTTCTTCCAAGTACGCACGATCTAACGTATCCAGAAACCAGTAGGTCATGAATGAATTGATGTCCTTGAGCTTTACATCAGAATCATTTCCAGTATACTTGATATCCCTCAAGCGACCTTCCACGTGTTGAGATACAATCTCAAAGCAAATCGATGGTACAAGATTGCGGAAATCTACCCCAAGTCCTACCCCCGTACTAGACTGAATCTGATCATGAATGCTAGGCAAATTTGGTGGGAATGTTGCCTGGGTGGACGAAGGTGTGATTTTAACGTTAAATACATCCTCCAATATTTTGACTGGGTCACTTGTCCCTTGATTAGACATTATTTATGTCGTCAATCTGCGCTACCCACAGTCGAATTCACTATACTAGTTAAAGTGTGTGTCTCAACCCTGCAAACATTAAGATAATCATGTTTTATAAAACGCAAGATTATTTTAGAAACGGCCTAATTTGCAAACTTACCCACACGAGATGCAACAAAAATGAAACGACTTTTCTTATCCCAGTCACTTTGATATTCAGGCAGACTCTATACTAAAATATTAACTTGTATAACAACGTAGTCGGCATTAATGTATTTACAGACCCTTAATATTAAGCTTCTTTATGAAGTACAGAAAGTCAAACCAAATTATTATAACGTTCTGTCAGTGGGATGGATTAAAGAGTGTGACGAGTTGACGACATGAGTAGAAATATGGAGCTATGAGAATGATTGGAATTAGAAATATATGGGAAAAAAGGTAACGGGAATTTGGAAATTGGTTCTTAATGTGAATTTCTGCCTGTTTTTGAGCAAGGACAGGAAGACGACGAGAAATTGCAAAACTTGAAGGGAGATGATGATAACACAAAATTTGTTTTTTTTCGACTCGCTCACCCGCACGGTTTAGTCGCTCCGCCAATCCCAGCTGACCCTCCTCCGTAAGAAAACTTTTCTTCGGGACAACTCAAGTTTTTCACGCAAAGTTGAAAGTCTGCAAGGACACCTGTAATTACTAATTAGTTGTTTAACACCAACTTTTAATTAATTTCAAAGATATCGGGACAAAGCAAAAAGAAGGTGGATTGATTTTGCACGCATATTGCCCCAAAAATCCAAGCAAGCACAAAGAATAATTATTTCGGTGAGTTGAGTTTCTCATGAATTATGAAACAAAGCTTGCTTTACTTTTACACATTGCAGTCGTTTGCGGTGCAGCTAATTGTAACCTCTGGTTGAGATTTTTAGTTTTTTTAGCCCGAGTCAGGGCTTATGGAACCGTCATGTCCGTCCGTCCGTCCGTCTGTCCGGCACGATAGAGCCAAAACGGCTGAACCGATTGACTTGAAATTTTTATCATATGCATATTGGACAAAGTTAGGAAACGAGTTCGAAGATGGGCGAAATCGGTCAAGTGGTTGAGCAGTGGGGGTCATCTAGGTAGGTGGGGTATTATGCACCAAAGTTTCAAAATTGTCGTAGAAGGCTGAAATTGGGTACAGAGGTTGCTAATGGCTCCTAATAGATAAAAATGACTTCAAGTTGGAAAAATTTTCATCTTGAGGAACCCTAGGGGGTGACCCACACTGATTTTTCAAAATCGTCATAACAAGCTGAAATTTGGTAGATAGGTTGCTAATGGGTCTTAATAGAAGAATATGACATGAAATTGGTAAAATTCTTATCTTTAGCGACCCTATGGGGTGACCCATACCGATTTTTAGAAATTACTTTGAAAATATTAAATCCGGCACGGTCATACCTAATGGCTTCTCATGAAAGGATATGAAGCTAAAAGTGAGCAAATTTTAACTAGAGTGACCCTGGAGGAGTCAGGGACTCTGTCCCTGACTCGGGCTATATGGAGTCTGCACTGTAGGTTTTTATGCTCATTATGTGGTACACATTGGAATTACTCAAGCTTACACTACTTGCTGAAAATAAGCTGTGAAATGATATGTCGCCACTTTCACCAAACCCATGCAGATCACTAACTTTCACTCTTTTCAGAATGGAAACTCGCACTAGATCTGGTTTGGAGGAGTTGGAGGAGGAGGAGAAAGTCAACTCTGGTATCCCCACTTTGTGTAGATCACTGGACAAGCTTTTGGGAGGGGGGATCAAAGCAGGAACGCTGACGGAGGTTGTGGGGTTGTCGGGCGTGGGTAAAACTACACTTTGTCTTCAACTCTGTTTGAATGTGCAAATTCCTATATGCCTCCAAGGAATAGAGAGTGAAGCTATCTATATTGGAACCAATCATTCCTTGAGTCAGGTTCGGCTGACTCAAATGGCGACAGAGTTTGTTGATCGGTGCAACAAGATTATTCTGAAGACGTTTACAAAACAACCTGTCGTCACGATCGAAAAAATTCTATCAGGGATTCATGTAATTAAATGTTGTAGTATTCAAGAATTGACAAGGATAATTCTAAGTTTGGATAAGTATCTGAAAACAAATGACAGGGTTAGACTTGTAGTTCTGGATGGTATAGATTTTCCCATGTTTATTGAACCATTGTCATTTAGTAGTAGAGTAAAAGTATTATTTAATCTCGTTCAAACTTTGCAATCCTATATGTTTAACTACAAACTAGCCATTGTCATCACAAACAGTATGACAACAAGGTTTGCAATGAAGGAAGAGAGTGAAATCATTGAAGAGTATTTTGTTCCGTATTTGGGAGAATCTCTAAATTATTGTCCGAATCAGATTATAAAGTTGACATGTAATCCATCACAAAGAACTAGAAAAGCCGAGCTAACCAAATCTGGGGTTTGTAAACTGGGTACGGCACGGTATCGAATAATTCATAGTGGTTTCCGTGACTGAAATTGCTACTCCATCCAACATATGTATGAATTCAGAAGAGCGTTTATTTATCTATGTATTACTTAATTTCACTAACACTGCTTGTAATTTAACAAGTTTTAATAGTGTAAGTACGATAGAGGATTACATTTGTTATTTAGTAATAATTTATAAATAGCTACATATAATTGGTTCTTATAAACACAATTATCCGTACATAATATAAATAAATTGTTTGAAATTTTCTGTATGTACGTACTTGTATTCACATAAGATGTTTCATACATAATCTAAAATCGATTGTTGTTAAGTGGATCCTTAGAGCTATGAAGCATCGATGCCAATGTCAAGGCTAAATCTTTTGCATCCGGATTAGAAGGAGTTAAAGAATTTTCCACAGAATTGGACGCAGAGATGAATCCAGGTGAAGTTGAGACAAACCCTTTTGCCTTTGAGTTGTTGATATTTGTGGTGGAAGTCGTCGAAGCTTCTGATAATGCGTCGATATTTAATCCAAGTACGGCTTTTCTCCATTCTCGACAAGCCTGTCAAGCAAAAAAAAACGTATGTGTGGAACACAATACAAGGGGCATCAGCAAAGCTTAAAGTAGTTTGCAATTATCCAACCTGTGGGTGCAGAATTACACGAAACAGAAAGATAAGGGCCCCTTGTCCTGTGGATTAAGGAAATATCAGTAAATAAGTATTTTAGGTATAAATATATAAAGGCGAATATAAACATATATTTGTAAATTGTATAAATATTTTAAGTATTTAAATGAAAAGTACCGGCATTGGTGATGCAAAAGAGATACTTGAAAAATACTTCGAACGGTCCAATTGCAAACAATCCGACGACCCATCCTGCCCCCACCAATATCATAACAGTTATAGAACCCTTGATTTGTGTTGGAGAAAGCATCACATATTTCGTTTTCCTCAAATTTTCTGCAACTTTCTTGCTCAAATTTTCAGGCTCATCATGAGGCCTTTCACGGACTCCACTCTTGCACTTTGTTGGCCCTTCTTGGGATCGTTGTTTTACAGTTTGTTTGTACAAGACGTTGAATATGCGACAAAAAACACCCAGGTTTACTAGAATGTAAGAGATCAAAATTAAAGTTAAAATCTTATCTAATCCCAGGAGCCTCCAGACTGGAGGCTCCAGTGGAATAGGAAATTCCATATTTCGAGAATCTCAAATTACCGTCCTGAAATTTATTTGGAGAAATTTGGAAGGTAGGATACGGAACATACTTAAATGTTATCACTCACAAGTAAACAAGTAAAGTATTGTCAGTTCCTCCTATTCTTCCCCCAGTATTGAATGTCTTGTTTTAAAAATATAAGAAATCTGCAGACTTCCCGGATACTTGAACAAGAAGTATCGCAAGCGAAATCCGTAAGAATTATTGCCATATAAATATAAAAATCATTCACTACCTACCAGTAACAACCTTAACATAGTTTTAGCCGTGTTTTGTTTTAGTTAGTGCTATAAAGTTAGCTATGCACTTATTATATTAATTGCATACATAAATACTTAAAGTGAAAGTGAAAGAGAAAGCGTCTTACCAATTAGAATAATGATGATCGGAGCCATGTATGCAATATAGTACAAAGGGAGGTTAAGATGTGCGGCGATGATGCACACATCATGTCGGCCAGTGTAGTAAACTTCCGGTCTCACAGCCGCACAAATGCTCACAATGACCAGAGGAATTCCTACAGATTGTATTGCGTGCATTCAGTGAAGGCACAAACTTATGTATTAATTGAAGAAATATATTTCATACCCCATGCAGCGAGGCATCTCTTTGTGAGAAAGCGTTTTTCAGGTTTCACAAATACGGAAATCAAAAGTTGATACATGTGCATTGCCTCCATTAACATCCAAAATACTAAAGTGTGGAGAAAGTACATGTAAATCTATGTAAATAGATACTATAACAAATATATATGAAAGCACAAGTATACGTGAAGTATGAAGAAAGTACTGCAAAAGGACAGAAGGGACAAGACATTTATTATGCCATAGCTCTTTCCCACTCGATATCGAAATCAAATGCATCATGAACAAGGAAACGCTCAAGTTCAGTAGAATCCGGTTGGATCTTTCACGTCTCAAACATCTAAAAATTAACAAAAATGTCACCAATCTTGGATATGAATGATCGGACGAGTTTCTCTACAAGTCATTCATCGTGTAATGCATAAAACCTGAATAGCCCATAAGTCAGAATAACTCCAGCCAATCCTACAATACTTATCGCGGAGCCCTAGAAGAAAGTTTATTTAATAATTGGCAACATATCTATTTACAAAAGGCGTTAGGACATGGTTTTGACGAATTCGCGGGTGAATATCTCTGGCGGGGAGTTGAATTTTGAACTGATTTTTGGTCAGTTGTAAGATAATACTCTCAAAAAGATATATTTAAAATTTTAGGCCGATAGCTTTATAAATGCCCCCTCCAGTGCCCCCAGAGTTGGAAGGAGCCAAAAAACACTTTCCAAACTGAATTACTCATATAGCATGATAACCTAAGAGGTCAGAGGTGAATGATTGTTAATATTACAACCCTAGATAATCATTGCATGTAATAATAAAAGAATCTACATGAATTACATAATGTTGGGCCTCCATCGTCGCTGATACTTTTTCATGAAAATTGATAAATTGGACCGTGCACAGGAAAATTGACCTGCTGACCTTGAACGCGGACCCACTCGGTCGAATGAAGATTGAGGGGAAAGCTCTAAGTGTCCCAAATAATATTAAATTAAACAGTGAAGATTTTGTGTAAACAGTTTTGGAGAACGACCCTAGCTAATCAGCTGTCGCGGAATCCTAAAAAACTCGTGAACTTATTTGGAAAATTAATGGTCAAATTTTTTAGAAAATAAATTTTACTAACCTTTTTGTGTCCCCTACTGCAGAACTATTTTATCTACAAGGTACAAGTGACAAAATAATAAAATTATTGCGTTTTGGTTAGTTAAATTATTTCTGAAGTTCGACATCGAAAACGACGGGAACTTTTCCAAAAATTTTATAAGGTCTGATGAAAACTCAGTCCGTGGGGTATAACCACTTATCAAAATTTTGTCAAAAGTACTTCAAGTGCAATACACTATATGTACCTTGGATAAAAACCACGTTAGGGATTTTTAGCATCAAAGTCGTAAAATGTGGGGGCCTTAAAAGTGGAAGAGTTGCGTTAAAGAGCGCATTCCATTAAGACAAGTATGAAATTAGACTGCAAAACGGACTTAAAAGATACGCATAAGGCAAACGTGGTTTTATATAGTGAAAAGCATGCTAAGTCCCTTAAAAATAGTCGCAAAGACGATTTTTGCATCAGGACCTAAGAAAAAATATTTAGTTCAACGCCATTTTATAAGAACACTGGTTTGGAAAACTAAAAAAGGACACCTCTCCAAATTTGACCTTGCCTCATTTCGCAGAGTACACAAAATCGGAAGCCAGATATGCTTACCTATAGTTTGAGACATGGGCTTTCACATAAAACAAGTTAGAAATCTCTACGACTAAAAACCATCCCGCAATTAAAGTATGAATTCGTCAAAACCATGTCCTAACGCCTTTTGTAGAAGCTCAATTAGAAAATTATTTTTAAAATAGTAAAACAATCCTTACAATTGACGACAAAATTGAAAGGATGTTTGAATGAACTGAATTTTGAATTGGTGCATAATCAGATCCTGGGATTGGCAGAGGTAAAGGGTCGATTAGAACGGAGAAAGCGGTGAAATGTGTTGCCTTGCAGGTAATGTTTCCCTTGTTGACCAAACTCGTCATCCCCTTTGATGACCAATTGCCCTCTATCAGTGTATTTTTAGTGGCAATGAAGTCAGTACAAACGTAAATACATATAACTCGTGAGATGGGTACCTTCATCATAGAAAACGCATTTCCAAGTGTAATTTTGTATTTCATCTTCATTTTCTGGTTGAAATGTGTACTCAAACTCTGACGTTAAATTTGTGATGGCAGCGTCGAGGACGTCAACTTGAAATACTCTCCAACGTCCAGCCAAACCGGTATTATTTTCCAGATCCGGACTGATTGGTGCAACGGTAGTGGAAGTGCTGTGCTCTGGAATGACGATTGACCTCGTCGTTGTGGTTGAAGGGATGGCTTCAATTTCGTGCTTCCAAAGGATGAATAACTCCTCACTGAATGCCAACACTCTAAGCTTCGGTTGGACCACATTTTGCATTAAACTCATGCGCAGGATGTCGGACGGAAACTTGAGTTGAACATTGTCAATAATTGCAGAGTAGTTCATTATAGCGCTTTCATTGGAAGTGTATGGAAATTGGGCTGTCTGAAAAATAATTACATTATGTAACTGCTCCTAATCATCCTGTACCTTTTCTTACCTGAACAGTTACATGAGAACTCGGAACAGTTATCCTGTAAATTCAACGTTGACAGTAAAGAATAATAATACACTTTAATACCTAATCTTTAGATGCCAGAAGTAGACAACCAACGAAATAAAAGAGTTTTAAACAGGAACAAAATAAATACTAAAATAAATAGCATTTCTTGTAAATGTCTTGATAATGAATGGCAGATAGCATTCGAAATATTGACCAAATAAAACAAAGCTTTCTCTTCGACTTTTCCACTAAACTCCGTGTAATCCAATTATTAAAATAAATTAGGCTTATGAATTGTTTTTGGAGTAGTAGTTGAGTTGAGTTTTGTTGGGAGTTAACTTTCACAAGGGGTGAAAGATATTAGATATAGAAACACGTTTGATAGACAAACTTGAAAAATCTATCCCGAATGTAAAGGACACGGTGCACCTAGTAGCTACAATGCACATAGTTCATGTTCATTATGTACATATTTAGTTGATAGTGGCCATTCGAAAGAAACTATTTCAATCCCCCCAAGTTTGGAACACATAAATGCACTGCATACACCATTTAGCAGCGCGTTGTCAACAGTTTCATGTACCGTGGTATAGTGCATGATGATATTATTATTTGTCTGAGAATTATCTATTTCAGCTAGGTTGAAATTTCATCAGGTGAGATAGCAGCATACCTGTAACCAGGATTAAGTGGAACCTCCTTTGTAAAGTCATCCAACATGGCAAAACACTGTCTCGCTGCCGACGGGTCCAGTTTTTCTTCGTAGCGATTGTAACTGTTGAGTAAATTTCCCAGTGCGTCAATTAACCTGAAATTCAAATATTAGATAAATTAAAAAGATATGAGAGATAAAGCGAGAGTGACCAAGAAATAAATACGAACGTTCTTGCAGCTTCGTAGTCGCTGAAAAAAGACACAAAATTAATATTTAGTTACATAATTAAAAACCGTAAATTAGTTACGTTACTACCATGACTTATGGTACAACTATTACTAATTTGTAAGATAGAAACGTACCCCGGTGGATAAGTAGCCCAGAATTTCACCAGCAGAAATTTGGGCCACATAGCTTTATAATTATACGGGGTAATTTCAAAGTTCTCAACAGCCTTATTCATACTTCGAAGTCCATCAAAGGTTGACTGCAATTAAGCACGAATAATTTTGTTGATAAAATATTAGAAAGTTAGAGGCATATTGTATTTCAAAATTTTGAAATGCATGGGAAATATCAGGGTTGAAGCATGTACCGTTGATCTGCAGCGTTTCGGTTCAGGTTCAACGTCTAGCTCCCAAACTGCAGTGTTGCTAAGTTCACCATTTTCAAGATTACTTTTTAATCTACAAATCCGTTTGGCTCCACTTTCTGGCGCTTCAGTGACCGCTTTTACATAAAACGGTGTAAGGGGTTCCAACCCAAGATCGATGACGCCATACGGGCACGGGGCGACGGTGACGGTCCCCGCGTATGTGGCTTCGGTTTTGGGAAAATGAAACATGCCATATGAAGTGTCGACCTTTTGAGCTGGACAAAAGCATGGTGTTGGTGTAGGTCGACCTTCCTCTGGTTTGGGACAACTGACCTCGACTTCTACATTAGTGAAAACAGAAAATATCACATATTTTGATTAATTAGGGGTTGTATTTTTAAAGAATTTTATTCTACCAAACTCAGCGACACTACTTGTCGCAGTTGCATGACAAAACAATGCTGCTGATAATGACAAAATCAGGAAAAAAAACTTGACGTATAATAATGACATTCTGAAAATTTGTTGTCTTCGACTCTCCCACGAGGTTACGATTGGATAAACTTGACAGAAAGTTCGGATTCAGATCAAGGTCCAACCAAAGTGAATGACGCCATACGTTTTTAATTAAGTCTTGATCGTAAATCATGAAGCCTTTAGCATGTTGCCCGATCAGGGAGGTTCGTAAATACGTACATATGCTCATACTGCCTGGATAAATCATATTTAATATCCAAAATCTATACAATAAATGGTTTTTACTCGCTTTGTTTCACAGATTTTTATTGCTTTCAGTCTTATAAATAGTAGTATTCAATAAAGTACAACTAGTAATAAAGTTACACCGGTAGATATTACTGATTAATCCCAATATCAATCATTAAATGGTTGTAAATGTCGAATAGCCAAAAACTTACAAGTTCGTCATAAATGGACAGAATTGGTGTCATAACTTCTTCCACGACACGATTACATTGCGATTTGAAAAAATCAATTCATGCGGACAAAGTGGACATGGAAGGCTTTACGATTTCGACAGGTATGATTGCGCAAGCAATCTCATATTTGTCACCATAAACTTGGACCTTAGCGTCAAGACGTAGATTTGGGAATTGTGGTTTGATAAAAACAGAAGTAGTGTAGCGATACAATTTTCCAGGCGTCAGAGGACATTCTACTTGTTTCGAGGCACACAAATCCTGAAAAGTTATTATGAAAATATATATGCATTATTTGTGAGCTTTATTATGTAGGCAGTTGTATTGTCTATTTGGATAGGAATTACCTCTGGATTATCAAACGACACAGCGGGTAAGTACGGCTTGATAATCCCAGCTAGCGATCCGACAACCTTGGTAGCAGCGAATGATGGAATAAACTCCAAGTTCAACGTGACGGTAGATGATTTAACTAAAGGACAACGTTCCAGACTGGGACATGGGATGACTTCCACGCGTTTCATCACCCCCAACGTGTCCTTACTGCAATTTCGATACGGAGCTCGCAACTCTATATTTTCAAAGACTGGGAAATTAAGTATATCAGGGAGGTTGTTTGATGCCCAGGGATTCAACGAAAATCCCATTGTGTAGGAAATAACTTGTACGCAGATGAAAACTTGAAAAAACTTCATTTTTTGTAAAAATAAAATTCTAAAAGTGTTGTGGAATAATCTTACAATCCTAAAATTCTAAAATTTTTTCGTTAGAGAATGTTTTAGAGATGTAATGTATAGGGTCCTCGAAGACATAGTGACAAAGCAACGTGATCCACTTTTATACATATTGTTGAACCCCCCTTAATTCGACCAATCATTAAGCAAAGTAGATAAAAGCTAAAAAGAAAACGATGGAATAGATAAGATGCCTTAGCTATGAGATGAAGAATTCCGATTCCTCAGATTCCTCAATCATTTGACTTAATGAGTTTTGGAAAATGGTCATAATGAGCTTGGCACTGATTCACATAAATCTGCAGTACCCTCAGCTATGTATGGATCATTGCATAAGTGTTCAGTGTTATTAACAGCATATCTTTATTGTGATTATCTTTTAAGACAGATTACAAATGCCTAATTAACAGCTTATCGTTTCATGCATTCAATATTATGCACGTTCTAAATGGTGACATTTTGTATGCACAAAATAACAATGTTCACTGGAGGAGGACCATTAGACAAATGAGTGTGAGATACAGGTTGACATCAAATCGATACGGGTTGGCCGCCCCACTTCGTGGAGACGTGGACTCCGAAGTTGGCGAAGTTGGCGGAGCAGTGGTAGTCTCGCCGATGGGATTAGTTTCCTTTTTAAATTTTATTAAAGCTTGAGGCTGTGGGTTTTCTATAAAGCAATTGGTCTACACACACATGTAGTTAGGGAGTAATAGACTTACCTTTAACATCCAGTCGTAAGCAGCTCGAGGAAAGTTATTTTGTGGGTCAAGCAGATATGCCCCTACAATGTCACGTGTTTTGGCTTGATATTCATTGAGATATTGAATCTAAATGATCCGTGGACATGTAATTATTATAATTATAATTAAGCTTGTACATGAGCATATTTTCAAATAGTGATGTAGATGGATACACTGTACAAAGATTCATCATCACCTCATCTTCCGTCAACAATGCAAAATTGATCAACTTGTGGGAATATGGAACGAAAGTCATGTCTTCAAATCCGAGCCACCCACTATTTTGAAAATCATGAGCCAATTCTACTTTCGCAACTCTGATGACATTTTCAAGTCGAATGCCGAACTCCAAAACCTCGTCATAATAACCCGGTTCTAGCAAAAAAAAAAACATAATGGTCGTCTGATCAGCTATCAAACAAAATAATTTGCAATATACCATTTGACGTGATCATGTTTTCCTGAAGCCCTGGATCTTCTACCCTGTTGCCGGAACCAATACCCTGAGGTCCTTCATGAATCTATTTTAAAATTTATTTGTTTTGCATTTTACATAGCTTTTTTTTGCAATTTGTAATGTATGTATGTATCAGATTGCAAGTTATCTTATGACCTAGCAAACAATGCTTCTATTTATTATCAGATTATATATATATGCAACTGTATAATGTTATAATGTACTTACGTTCAAGAATGCACCTATCCCGTGACCTGTGTGAATGCAATACAAAAGTATAATAATTTTAAAAAAATATCAAGTATCTACTTTTGGACCACATATTCACAAATTATGAAAATGTTGTCAGAAAGTGTCGCGAAACAGATAAAATAATTGTCGCACCTGTCCCATGATTGTATTCCAATCCGACTTCCCATAATGCTTCACGAGCGAATGAATCTAATCGGTTTCCGAGCGTCTTATCAGGGAACTTTGCAGTTGCTAATGCAATCTGACCCTTCAAAACTCGAGTATAAGCTTCTCTTTGAAATGGCGTTGGATTTCCGAAATGCATGCTTCTTGTAATATCTGTTATAAATAAAGGACGCCAATAATTTAACAATCAACAAATGGTTTGTTTGATCGGTTGCAATAGACTCATTAGATTGTAATAGATTGCAATGAAATTTTTGAACTACACAAAAGGCACCCATCTTTTTTTTGCCAAATTTATTTTTATTTGTTACTTACCTGTTGTGCCGTCGCTGAAATTGTACAAACGTTACAATTAGTTATGTCTCTCGTCAAGAATAATTAAGCTCAATAATAATTAACCAATTAATTTACAAGTATAAGCCACCAGAGTCGAGTAGGTATAGCTCATCTCTAGACAAAGGTCGACTAGATGCTTCAGTTGGCATGTAATGAATGATCTATAAACAAATACATATAAAAAGTGCACATCGCCGGAACTCTCAAATTGGTGTACAATATTTAATGGTGAGTCTTACTGCAGCATTCCTTCCAGTTGCGGAGATGGTTGAAAAACTCTTGTCGAAAAATAGTTCTGAACGATTCCTGGTGCGAAGTGAAAGTAGGAAAGTTACGCTTGACATTCAAAAACTAATTGAATATTTACAAATCATACTAATTGCGTACTGTCGAATTTGGTAAAGGTGAGTGGCCGCTGATGTTTCGTTTACCGAGACGCCTCGTTCCATAGCGTCTTCCAACCAACTAAAGAATTCGCACAATGCGGCGCTATCACGAATTAAGGCTCTCCTGTAACCCGCAACCTCAACGTCGTTTTTTAAGGATTTCATCAGTGAAATTGGGGTTAGTTTTACAAGAAGACGACTTGCGTCTACAGTTCTGACCAGTTTATAATTTGCATTCCTATTGACCCACACCATCCCTGTTGAGTTTGCTGCAACCTAAAATGCATATAGTTTTTAAGTAGATAGATGTGCATCAGTGTCAAATAATTGTAATTTACAATTCGTGGCAATTCCGCATAAGCCTCTTCATATGACTTCAGGGCTATTTCTGGGACATTACTGCGTAAAGCAGTTGTAACATTTGCTGAAACTTGAGTTGGGTTGTTGGTAAAAAAGTCCAAAGTTGTTGCAGTCAGAATAACAAATGAAAAAAACGTTGAACTCGATGGAATGTCTTTGCCCCTCAAATTAAGCAACCCTGTCAATTTCAATTTGTATGGAATATTATTAAACCTTCATTTTGAACAAACTTCTTTTTAATCCGAGTCAGGGTTCATACAGGTATGGAACCTGTATGTCTGTGTGCGACACGCTAGAGGATGAACCCTTAGGAGGAAAGACCCTCTACATGCCCCTCTCAGATCTCGATGTCCTTTGGATATTTGATAGTCCCTGGTGAGTGAATGATAACCCTAGAGTGGTTTGATGCCATGGCCACATTCGCACCCGCCACACCCACTCAAAGGTGCCCAAAAACGCTTTCACTCCAGCTTTCACTCACTCAAATCCACGCCAAAAATCCAATTTTACTCGGATTTTGAAATTTCTTTCACCACTCCCAGATAGTTGCTTTCTGGTATTCAACTTCAAACTCAACTTTTGGAAACTTTTAGTATTTTTGAAATTTAAAATTCTGAATGAGCATTGTTGTCGTCTCCTCGTTAGACTAACTTGGTGTTAAACTGCGTATCTCAACAAGGCATTGGAAGAATTCAGAGATGGGCAAGTGGTTGACCCCGGGGGGTCATTTAAGTGATGGGGGTAATAGCACAAAGTTACAAGTTATCGTAGAAACCTGAAATTCGGCATAGGGGTGAAAATGCACATTAAATCAAAGAATACGCAGTTAAGTATAAATTGGTTAAAAATTTTGCCGGAGGGACCGAGCCACACTGATTTTTTCTAAATTGGTTAGAAATAGCTGAAATTTGGCATCAAGGTGCAAGTGTATTTCAGATTTAGGAAAATGTAGGAAATTTTGAGAAAATTGATAGCAGGAGGCCCAACGGGGTGACTCACTATTTCGAAATTGGTTTAGAAAGACTGAAATTTTTCATGTTAGTTATATGTATGTAAGAGTATAACAATCGATGACGATTAAGAATGGTATGTCAGGTGTGCACTTATGCTAAGTATAGTATACGATAAATGTAACCGGTGTCGTTGAGTTTTGCATACAATTTCGTAATATCTAGTCATGGGGTCATCGGACAAAAGTTTAAAACATTACTCTGACTCTGACTAAATGAAGTCTGCACTCGATAAACAGTTGTTGCAGCTATGGGAAGAATTGCTACTAATTATTATTTGCTAGCAATTAGTACTAATGACTACTGGTTAAAAAATTGTTTAATAAATAACTATACAAACACAGTGATAAAATATAGAATAAACATACTGATAGTTGGCTTGGGGAGTATAGGAAAAAAAACTGATGGTAGGTTGAGGTATACTCCGTTTGATCCGGATAAGCGTCCGAAATCACTTGATATTTATGTGCGTAATAATTACTAGTAATTCTTGCCATAGCTAAAATAACTGTTTACCGCCTTGATTATAAATACGTAATAAGTAGAAATTGCATACATGCAACTTCATCAAGCTCTGCCACTAGCAAAACGCTTGCACCATTATCTGCCATTGCTGCTCGAACATCTCTAACTTTATCGGAGGTATTCTTTCCGGCATAGATTAAATCCAGACTGAAAATAGGATTTTCTGAGCAACTTGGTCTTGTTTCCCAAATCTCATCCACCAAATTTGTGTCAATTGCGACAAGAGACAAGTTTTTAGCTCTTAATTGGCTCTCCATATTGTCCCATGTGCCTTTGGTGTAAAGGGCTGGGTCCACTCCAACTCTAGAGTTGGCAGCTAGATTTTCGGTTAGCCACTGAGCTTGTGTAGGTGTGCCTGACGTCCCTACAGCACAAGTTATTTCAATTTTAACCACAGTGAAAAATACTCGAATGCTACGCAATCGTACATCATTATGCATAATTTGTCGCTGTTGAAAGTAATACCGTCTCTCATTACCATCTCGCATTAATCTCCATAAATTCATATCCATCTCTTGCTCTGCTTGGAAGTAGTATCTCCCATCTTGACAATAGTTCCAATAATTTGTTGATAATTAGTTCAAGTCTAAATTATTTAATTGTAGCGTAAATCACCTGTCCACAAAAGTGCAACACCTTCACCAGTGCTGTTAGTCGTTACAATAGCAGTTCCTGCTGACCCAGTAAATTTCGAAATGTATCCTCTCCTTTGATGACATTCAGCGACAAATTCCGTCTAATAACAAGTGCCATTTAAGTATACGAATTCTCCTCGTGTACATACGTACAATAAGTGTAGGTGAGTAAAATTATTATTAGTGACTCTTACGTAATGCTCATCTTCCGCCGGAACAATGTACGCGCTAAGGGAGTTTGTTATCATTAAAGCACGAAGGGCTGTGAGTATCGCCGCAGACGCGGTTGGGATTATCATGGTGGTGGTGATGAGAAAATCAGGAAACTTAAATAAAATAATCCAACAAATAATTGTTCAGAGCGATGCTTACGAATGTTGGTGATCAAATACAATCGTATGCAGATAAATGGAGTAAAAGTATTATAACCTGCATAACATTGGATAAGCTCTCATTGAAATGATGAACTTCGCCGAAAATTCGTCATCCTTGGCATTGTAAAGTACTTGACATCCCCGGTTGATGATTTCAAACAAGGCCAAGTTTAAATGAGCATGATTGAATCAAGTACGCATATTATGACAATGTCCTAATTAACCTTCAAGTAAATCCCTTGAAAGATTATGAATTGCAGATTCAATGAAAATATAATAAATGTTATATTGTCCAGTTATACGTTAGATTAAGCAATACATTCAAAGAAATCCATGATAAAAAATGATTGAATAAGTGTAATTAACGTAATCAGGGAAAAATTCTCTGAATTATTTATTTATTTATAACATAATTAATTCATCATTCTCCGTATTACAGAGTTATCAATATTCACCTTTTTGTCAAATCAGATTATGGTTGATACTATGCCCGTGAAAACGGAGGTGTTTCTTTTATGAGCCAGGCATTACTTGGATCATTGGGGTAGTTCGTTCTGATGAATTCACCAACAATTTGCCTTGTTTTGGCCTGATATTCGTTCAGATAGTTTAGCTAGAATCAATCGACCAACCATTATCAATTATCATCACTTAACCACATTAAAAATTAATGAGGAATTTATCTTGTTTGATGATATTTTATTGTTCCTAATCATCCGTATACCTCTTCAGCAGTCAACAGTTCGTGTTTTATAAGCTTATGCTGATAGGGCACAAAAGTCAAATCCTGAAAGCCCAAAAATCCCAGGTTCTGAAAATTGTTGTCAAGTTGCACTTCAACCACTTTGATGATGTTTTCCAATCGAATGCCAAATTCTCCTTCACGGTAATAACCAGGTTCTGCATGCAAAAAGAAATGTAAACGACATATTGTAAAATCTCTGGCGATTACTTCAACTATGATTTTTTAGTGTTTTGTTGGTACCATTAGAAGTGAACATATTTGCTCGATAACCTTGATCATCTGGCATATAATAGCTTCTTATGTAGCTTGGCCCTAATTTTATGTACATTATGATTAATGATGTAGGAGTACTTATTTAAGTATAATCCTTCAATTAAATTCACCTTCGTGGACATTAAGAGCGTGACCTATACCTGTGACATTTAAGAACATACATAGATTAGTTAATTAGTTGCCTATCATTTAAGTCATCCTTAACACAACACGCAAATATAATGTCTTACCATGCCCAGTGCCGTGGTTATAATCTTAAGCAATGATCAAATCAAAATATAATTAAGAAATCTAGTTTAACAATAATTTTCAAAGAGAATGGTGAGACAAATATTACCCAAGCCAACTGCCCATAAAGCTCTTCTAGCAAATGCATCGATCCTCGACGCCCGAATTTTTAAGGGGAAAGTAGAGGTGACGATGGCGATCTGGCCCTTTAGAACCCGAGTATAACATTCTCTTTGAAAATCTGTAGGGGTTCCAAAGTGCATGGTTCGGGTTATATCGGTCGTCCCTTCTCTAAGAGTGCAGTGATTGATTTAAGTGTATTCATTATGATTACTTTGGACAGATTGTCTTGAACATTGAACATGTAAAAATTTAGGAAAGAATTTGAAGACGGGTTGAACCGGTCTGTTGGGATGGCTAGTAGAGGGACACTACTGTAAATTTTTTTCGAATTTCTGGGCATTTACACTATTTTAAGACATGAGCAAAATTTGAAGCCTGCTGGATGGCCGGGTTTGAGAGTCTTTCAAAATCGTCAGATTATTTGGAATCAACGTTTTCCATTTATATACATATCCAATTGAGCAAGTAGTACACATAAGGGTACCCAAACCCAACCACTTCCTGACTCGTGTCCGTGCCAACCAAAATATGCGGGTTCCCTGAAATGTATTACCTCAAGATTCCTAAACTTTTTAGCTCGTTTCCGTGGAGTGAATGTATTAGGATTATGTAATGAGGTTGTCCAAGGATGGGCCATCTTTTAAAAATTATTAAAAATTTTCGAGTTGGGGACAGGCACGCATTTTTTGGCGTTGTCACCCGTTGTTGGGTGAGTGAGAAATTATTTTAAAAATTATTTTTGCTACATTTTCTGGGGACTGCTTTTAATTTTTAACTCGATTGCATATTACATATGTGATATTGATGACCATTTTTGTCCCCGATACTTTTATATATTTGTACACGTATTTATATGCATATTTTTATAAAGAGCACAACCAGGTAGATAATTCGAGTTCCGGAGAAAAAATTTTCATTTGTCTAAAACTTGACAAAATTTTCATTATTAAATTATCACTCCCACGATAACGGCGGACCTGGAGGACGAAGAGGAGGAGGATAATTTAGTTCTGGAAGATTTTGTAATTGATGAGGTAGCAGCTGCTGGTGCAGATTCAGAAACCACTCCTGCTGATACCGAAGATGAGTTGTTAACGGTATAAGTTTTTAAAATCATGAGGATGTCAATTTTTGTCAAGTTTTTTTAAAGATAAATAAACATTTCTTTATCTGGAACTCGAATTATCCTCCTGGTTGTGGTCGCTATCTTCATAAAAATATGTATACAAATAAGTGTAGAAATATACAAAATTATCGGGGGCAGAAGTGGTCATCAATATCACATAATATGCATTCGAGTTAGAAATGAAAAAGTCCACCGAAAAATAATTTCTCACTCACCCAACAACGGGTGACAACGCCAAAAAATGGACAACCTTGGACAACCTCATTACATAATCCTAATACATTCACTCCACGGAAACGAGCTAAAAAGTTTAGGAATCTTGGTATTACCTGTAAATTGCCCCAGAGTCTACGAGATACATTTCTGAAGTGGTTATTTGTTTGTCTGTCTCTACGGATGGTCTGTAGTGAATAATTGCTCCGTTTGAACCACTTCCAGAAATTGTTTGGAAGCTAGTGGTTAAAAAGTTCACATTTTCCCTGAAATACATTATGTCAATAAATTGTATGCACAAAATGGGTTAGAAAATTGACGCCGTGGAACATAAATATGCACATACTTTCGGAACTCAAGCAGTTTCGCTGCCCCTGACATTTCTGTTTGATTCTCTCCTTTAGTCACAGAATCTTCCAACCAGGCAAGGTACCTTTTAAAGATACATATACTTGCAATTGACTATGGATATTTTACACTTTACGTATGCTTCGATTGGGTACAAAAATCCATCAAACCTGATCACAGCAGCAGCATCCTTTATCAAAGCTATTCGCATACCATCCGCTTCGACATCATTTTTCACAGCTTTCAACAACGCAATTGGTGTCAATTTCACAATTTGCCTATTTTCCGGAACTCTGCTAACCAGAGCGTAGTTGCAATTAGTGCTAAACCAAATTTTTCCCATGGTCCCATTTACCTATTTAATTCAAAATCTCACGTTCATAGGCAAAGTAAGCTATTTGTAGTACATTACATAACAATATTTTGTATGAAATAGCTAATAAATACATACCAATTCAGACAATTTTACTCCAATCTCTTCATACGCAAGAATTTGACCATTGTCACGTACAATGCCAGAAACGATTGTTTCATTCAATTTTGCAGAATTGATAAAAAATTGAAAGCTGTTGTTTCGAATGATGAGATATGAAATGAAGACGGATGATGAATCCAAATCAGATCCTCTCAAATTAAGCAGCCCTATATAACATCCTAATTTTATAAATTACAGTCCATTACAAATGATTTAACTCGTCTCACAAGCAATTTCATCAAGTTCTGAGAGAACGACGGCATCAGCAGCCTCTGTTAACATTTGTGCTCTAATGTCAGTTAACTTGTCCGATGTGTTTCGACCTGTGAAACTAATTTCCAGTGGAAATACAGGTTCTGCAGGACAAGGTGGTCTCGTATCCCACGCAAGGTCGATTAAATTCTGATGCACTTGTACCAAGGTGTGACCTCCGACTTTTAGTAAAGTTTCAAGGTTTTCCCACTCAGTTTTCGAGTACAAAGAAGGGTCAACGCCAACTAGAGATCCTCGAGTCAAGTTTCGATTTAGAAATTCTCCTTGACTATTATTATTTCAGAGAATGTTATAAGTATTTGTTTATAGTGCTTAAAGCTAAAGTTTGACTCATGTTTAATTATTCTTTAACCGTCTCTCATTAATTCCCAGTTTCCATCAAGTTCAATGGTCGCTTGAGTAAAATATCGACCGTCTATTGCCGTTCCAAAATTGTAAATATACGTAATTATAAATTATACCTCAATTCCCAAATTAAATAGCCCCAGTCCAAATACTTATAAACCTACCTGTCCATAGTAAAGCAGAGTTACCAGTGACAATTACGGACCCGGCCGACCCTGAGAAACCCGAGATATATTTTAGGCGTTGATCACACGTCGCTATCTTGCTTCCCTGAAGGTCAAATGGAGTTTTAAAATGCTATTCGTCATTTTAGTCAGTCTGAATACTTACGTAATGGGCGTCATTTAAAGGTACAATGTACGCCGACAATTCCTTTTCGGTCCCAGTAACATCTAAGTTTGTCATCAAATTCCGAAGAAGAAGAATTTGCAACTGTGCACAATAAAATCACGTTTTAGCCATTTCCCCAAATTCAATTTCACCTTTGTGATAATTTTGATCAAGATATTTATGGTTCGCTTACCGTTGTATTGACTGCGAGGAGCATTTTTGTGAGCAGTAAAATATTATGCACGTCAACCTTTCTGCATAGACGGGATTGGAATGAATGGTTTGGTTCAGCATATCTGCGATTTAATCTGGAGGATTATTTCTGTTCAGTGATATCCAATATAATTGGCAGAGTAGGCATACGCACATAAGTACATTATAGAAAAATGCTCATTCGTAGTTAATTGACATTGAAACTTTTGTTGGAGTAGTTTTCATTTTTTTAATACTCCAAATTATTTCCAGCATTAATTTGGCAGTTTACAGTGGGTTTAGATTTGTACACATAAAATAATGTAATTATTGATAAAACAATAGGGTATAGACTGCAGGGAATGACGGTTGTCCGGTAATCGTAATGCACATGGCGAATGTTTTTTTTACAACCTGAATTTGTATACGTAGTTTACATGCATATGATATTCAATTATAAATGTGACGTATTATTTAGCTATCATTTAATTTCTAGGTTCAAAAGTGTGCTTGCATATACTAATAAAATCGGAGAGCAAAATTGATAGTGATGACACGCTTATGCCAGATATACAAATGTTCTTAATGATGACTATAAATCTCACTTTCTCCTTCCAGCTTTCACAACAAGTGAAGTAACTGAAAAAATGATGGTAAACTTTACATGTCTTATTATCTAGTTGCATGCTATGAGTTACTAGCTGACCATTTAGTTCTCAATGATCAGAACTTAAGAAATATGGACATGTAAAATTTTCAGAGAAAATTTATCAAAAGAGAAAGTGCCATATTAGAGCATAAGCGTGTCGAATGCAGCCCCATGGTTGCGGGAGTCTCAACTTGATTTCTAGTCCACCTTTTCTTCAAAACTTTTGCTGGTAAATAATTTTCTAATTTTTTTTTACTATTAAGAATTTTGCTTTATTTAATCTGAAATTAATACTTTAAAATAGTTTAATTTCTTGCGGCTATTTTACAAAACTGTTCAATTTCTTAGCATTATTTTGTATTTGCAGGAAAGATGGCTTTCACTCCTTTGCGAGTTGGCCACAAACTGATCAACCAGTGTTGTAATGCACTGGTTCCAAGAATTAGTATTTTCAAAATACAGCATGCCAGCATTTCCGGGAAAACTATGCGAACTGAACAAGTTGAAAAACCAAAGCCATGGCCGTACAAAGGTATTTTTAAAATTCCAAATGTATAGTTCATAATTTAATAATTTTGAATTGCAATTGTTCATTGATTGAATTCTTTATAGAGCGAGGGTATTCCAACTTGCAAGCTTATTTCGACTATACAACAAAGAGACTAGATGACAATTCAAAAGTCATCCTCGTTGAAGGGTTGCCTTGCATTGGAAAGACGGAAGTTGCAAAGGGATTGGCGGAAGAATTGGGCATGAAACATTTTCCAATGGTAACAATGGACTCTTACTATATCAATGCTTATGGATACGACATGCGTAAACTAGACCCCCAAATACCTTCCCATCTCAGGAGTTTCAGCTTGGAGGATTTCATTAAGGTAATTAATGGATTACGAGTAATTATGTGTTATGTACGTTCACGGACTGTTTTTTTGTCGTTCAATTTTAGAATCCTTCAGACGATAGAACTCCTATCTTACAATTTACAATGTTCTATCAAAAGCTCTTCCAGTATATTGATGGGCTTGCGCACTTGCTAAATACGGGACAAGGGGTTATTCTCGAGAGATCAGTGTACAGTGACCTTGTATTTTTCGAGACATTGTTTGCTTTAAAACACGTTGATCGTTGGGGTGCGTATGTCCAATTCTAAAAGTTGACTTAACACTGCAAAATTTCTTCAGTCATTCTGATTAATTAATTGCAGAGCGCAAAGGGTATTACGAATGGCGAGATATTGCGTTACCTGAGTTGATGAAACCACACCTTGTAGTGTATTTGGATGCTTCTCCGGCAACGGTAGAAGAAAATCTAAAACGTCGAGGAAAAGGAGAGGAAAAACACATTAACAAAAATTTCTTGGAAATTCTTGATAAAAACTACAAAGAACAATTTTTGCAAACTATCAGTGAACACGCCGAAGTATTGGTCTACGATTGGAACACACCTGGAGACCCAGAAATAATTGTTGAGGATATTGAAACGATTGATTTTGATAGGTTTGATATACTTGATCCAAAAATGGGGGATTGGCGACTGAAGGAAGAATGGGACTGGAATGAGAAGCGTTACAAGTAAACAATTACTTAATACATACATATTTATTTATTTATATGCACATATGTTGGTTTTTCATACCAGTACTTATATCAGTACATTGTGAATCTATTTAATATAAATAATTTCTAATGTTTAATATTTTGTTTTAGTTTCACGCATGGATCAAGCAGAGCAATTTTGGCAAATGGACTACTTCACCATTACACAGAAAGCACACCCAGACTTAATTGGACTGCTCAAGAAGCACTCGTTATGAATAAAATCATCGAATCTGTAAGTGATTTTTATACACAAAAGTTTTTGCTGGCCGCATATCATGCAGTTGCAATTTTAATTAAATTAATTCACTTATAGGCCCCCGGAATGAAATATGAAACCGGATACAATGTTGATCAAGGAGATAATATCTTGTTCAAAACTAAAGACCACACACCTTTTGTGCGCGATCAACATTAGTAATTATGATAACAACTTGCAACGTAGTTTTATAATTCAGTTGCTGCCGCAGAACCAGTCAAAAACATAAATGCTATTAGAGTTAATAACTTTATTTGTCAAAATTCCCCCCATAAATTGTTTTATGTCGAGAAGACAAGTACTTCCTCCATGTATATACTTCAGTTTAAATAAATGTCGATAAAAATTATTAATTTATACCCTTCTCGTTGAATTTTTGCATAATTTAGTGCATAGTGGGTTGACTCAAGTCTCAAATTGGTATTATTGGGACAATTGAGAATTTCACGTTCGTTTGATTTCCTGCAATATGAAATTCACCATTTAAATCATTGTTGCATATAGAACGACGTCGTGTAATCAGAACATCGGATCACGTCACAGGTTATTTGTATTGGCATTTCAGCTTCATGTGAATTTGACCTACCTTATCTAAATTGTTTTCATGTGAAATGAAGTTTTTCCCAATTGAATATGAAAGATTAATTTTGGCTAGAATTTATGTATGAATATATATTTATAAAATTGGGCTGAGGCATTCCTTTGGAGAACAAAGCACTGCACCCCTCCAATACCATGCACAAAAACTGAGCAAGTAACGAGGGTATTGTAAAGTCATAGCTTCTTATTTGTAACTGGGCTATATATGTTGTTTGGGTGAACAAGTTTAAGAGCTTGCAATTAGTAGTACTAATTTAGTACCAATGTGCTGTGAATCTCAATCTGATTATTAGTAATCATGTCGTTCTTGTAAGGATCTGCCTTTAAACATGTCATCGAATGGTTCATATTGTATGGTTTTTTGACTGGTGATGTTCTGTCATTTTCCTGGATGCCCATGAACTTTGTAATATCTCGTCTCATCCGGGAAGCGGTTACCTGAAGAAGTCCAGGAGATTTTTGCTGAAATTAATATATTTTGAGACTAAAGTTGCTGCGATGAGATGAGACGAGCATCTTTCTGGCTTCGCTTGGGTGAAAACAGTGCAAGAATTCGCTGCTCTGTATAAAATAGTAGACTCCGCGTTGCACATTGCACACAAAGCAACACAAATTTAACTCTGCTCAATGTGGAGGGGTCAAGCACAATAACGGCTTCACCATGAATTATTGTACGATCAAGTTCTCTCGTAATATGTGAAATCGTCGACTTGCAACTATTTGTGTGCTTGTCATTGTATTTAGCAGGTCAATAATAAGGCAAGATTACTAGTACAAAATTACAGTGGCTTAAACAAAAACTCATGAAAATGCTTCTCGACACATGATGCATGATGCCATCACTGCATGGCCAAAGGAGATAAAAGCCTTGTCGCGTTATTTCCCTTCCTGCCAAGGGTCCACTCCATTCCAGTACGTGATCCCATCTCCCTTAAACTGTGAGTTGAGATAAGATTGCCGATGATCGGCAATCTCAGAACAAGAGACGACACGGGGTCAATGAGCAGTCCCCCTTAAACCTGGTTTTGTACGGTGGTGGTGGTGTGTGTACTGTGTACATGCAAGTTGGAGCATAGCATAGCAGTGTTGAAGCCATGTTATTATTGCATACGGAGAGATATAGCAACCAAGTGAAGCAAGTTTTATTAGAGAAGGTTTTGGTGGAATATTCGATTACAAACATTTGCTTACTTGCTTGTATATACTCGGCTGTGCTGTTACTGCTGCTTTTGCTGCTGCTGCCGTAAGCTTGCGGGGAGAAGAGACTGGTTTGGTTTCATTTGTATTATATCGAAATGGTCTTTATCGCTGAGCAGTGGGAAGTTAGTGAGGCAGGGAGTTGTGGATGATGGCATGGAATTGGCTGCCACCGAGCTCAGTCAGTTCTCTCTGGGCACCAAGACTCTCATCATCACACGCACTCCCCAAAAAACTCTCTCTCATCACCACCAAGCAAGCAAGCAACCCATCTCAATAAATTCCGGCGAGTGTGTTTTGTTGAGAACCGACTGACAATTATTAAGAGGAAAACTCTAATAACCTGTCCATTATAAGACCAGAATAATTTCAAACTTAAGGGCAACGAATTAACCACCGCTCTGGTTTCTGCCTGTATCCGTGCTGTACTCTTACTTGTGGTTACAAAGCAATGCCACATTTTGTCACGAAACTTTTACAAGAGAGCTATACTGACAAAATCTTCAGTCGGGAGTGAACCCGACCCATGCAGGTGGTCGTCATGGAGAAGCAAGAAGAGGATATATATAAAAGTGACGCCTAAAATATCAAATTGAACAACAAGCAGTGGAAATCGGTCGGGTGCTGCTCAATCAATTGAGTGGTTTTTCCTTTTCGCTAATTACTTGAGAGAACGAGTGCAGTTTCTCCTTGCTGACAGATATAAAGCAAGGAACAAAAAGTGTAATTGTGTGATAATTGTTGAAGGACACTGCACTGAATTTTACTTGTGGGACGAAAGTGGTCATAATTGTTGAAAGGAAAAAGCTATTTTTATGGGAAATGATGTGTGATGTTGGACAGACTGGAGGGTTTCTACATTTTAGCTGAAGATGCTGATGTGATTTCGAAGGAGAGAAATAGAAGAGAGAGAGAGGATTGGAGCGGAAAGGAGGTAGCTGTATATATAATTCCATGAGCAAAATGATGTTGACGGATCAGTGACTTTATCCACTAGCTAAGGAAAGTTTTATGAGTCGAGTTTGGTGTGTGCAATGCAATGTGTCAGGATGAGTTGTGGTGAAGTGAAGAAGTGTTGCAATACAAATCAACATCAATAATGGAATCAAAAGAGTGACACTGAAAATAAGGTGCGTATTTATAGGATTTCCTCTGCTTGCTTTTTTATATAAATTGTTTCTATTACGTACGTCAAATCCAGGTTATGTTTGATTTTTAGACAAAATCTGTACAATTTAAAATATGAAATGTGCATCGTTCTTTTGGTGCATAGCATTGTTCGCACATATGACATAGTGTTTCTTGCATTGGTTCTCATATTGGTAGTGATAAAGAAAAACTGTCAATTGACTTGACCACACACATACTTGTACACGACCTATTCGGACGGCTTACACACACAACGAGCATTTCAGAATTGTTAATATATGGGTAAAGTTATTAAGGAAAGGATGCGGCCTTATTAGTAGTATAAGCTGAAATTTTACGCTTTGAGTTTAATTTTTCCATGTGAAGTATTGATCCAATGATTAATAAGAATCAATGGTTAACGTGCATATACCAATTTTGGCCTAATTAGTAATTTTCATAAGCATGTTCACTGTACTTGGGAATCTCCTTATTTAGTTGGAGTTTCATTGTATTGAGTAGATGCAATTTATAAGCAAAAATGTAACCAACATTCAAACTTATGTGCATGCACTGTTACTTTGTGGATTCTTGGAATTTTATATTCATCTTGAACCGCAATTCGACAAGGTGTAGTTATGAACGAGGAACCTTTGTCTATTTTCTATTTATTAAAATTGTGACTTTGAAGGATATTATCATTGTAGGTTTGAATTGGAGAAGATCTTTAAATTTCAAATCGTGCGTAAAGTTAAATTCATTAAATTAAACCTGTAACCACTATTTTCAAAAGTTGAGTTTCGTGAGACAACTTCAAGGGTATTCTCGTTTCAAGTTAACAACGGAACAAATATAAAGATACATATTGATGATGTATTAAAGATTGAATCAATCAGAAAATGCGTCTAATGCGTGATTATTAATTTTATCTTGTTACTGTTTTACTGAAGTAATGACAATAAGCACACTACGCGGTTATCAGTAACAACCATATTTGACATCAATCTTCCTCAATACGAATACTGAGCTTTAAAACTATTTGTTATCTATCGGCCACAATTTGTTTATTTGTCAGGGCAATTGACATGGCCGTAGACCTTGTGGGTAATATATTAATACGCATCAATAAATATTTGTAACTTCTAAATATGTGCATTTTAAGGTTTCTCAGTTTAATAAACGCCCATTATGGGAATTGTAGCAGAATTTAAATTAACCTTCGACCTCAAAGTATCGATATGAACTTGTGCAAACGTTGTGCGATATTTTGTTTTGTGTCATAGATCTTTTCTATCTATTACAATTCCTCCAGTAGTGTGGCTATAATACGTTCGAATAGGTATGCTTCCCACTTATTTACAAAGGCTAAGGCAGCGATAACGTGCATGTAGCAGTCAACAGTCTAGGCTAGGAGAGCTAGCAATGTCATTTCATTTTATTATTGATTGTTTCATGTTAGAGAAGGCGAGCATAAATCGACTTTCTACTAAAGGCAAAGAAGAGGCATTTGATGGTAAAGAAAATGCAGCAATAAAAGTACGTAACCTCATCCATATCTATCGTCCTTAAGTTTAAGTTAAACAAGCGAAGAATTCAAGTATGAAAATGGACAATATCTTAGAGTTGGGACTTGGGATTAGTTGGGATGGATGGAAGTGGAGACTTTATTAATAAAGGAAATGGTCAACAACAAATACTTATGTTATGAAGTAGGTAGTCGTTGATATGCATAGCTTAATATGCATAGCATAATATGCAAGAAAATCTAGCCCTTGGTTTGGACACATACTTTTATTTGTTTGGTTCTTGTTGTTCGCATATCTTAACCTTTTGCACCCCAACTTTAACTTGAATTATTGAATCACTCTGTGACTGTTAACATTCATCATATCATCATCCGCCCGTTTTGAGATTCATTCTGCTTGAGGTTTTGTTTTTGTTTGCGCTACTGGAACTTGCGAGAAATGAACGGTAGACGTGGACTATTTGTCGTTGATGCTAAATAGCTACTAGTCTAGTAACTACATTATTGAGCTCAGAAGAATCGTCGCTCGGTGTCAGTTTCAGCTTGAATTCAATTCAACATTGCCTTTATTATTCAATTAGTTGTTCTTCGTGTGACCGTCCATATTTAGATTGTAATTGTGTCTTGTTTCTCTCTCTCCGGTGTTGACAGTATCTGTTCCTCTCCTTCACTGACTTGCCTGTCTTCTTTGTAGTATTAATACTCGGAGTTTTGTACTTGCGTTTGTTAATAACTCTGATGATAAGCAAGATGGTTGACACTATTGAGACCTTTGACTTGAGCTTAAACACAGATCTATCTGTGTATGCATATGTGTATTGTATCCAAAAATATAACGGACCCCTAACCCAAGGTTATTTTCTGCTTGTCGCCACAATCTATTTCATTGTTCTGGGCGACTTTAGGAATTAATAGAAATAACTAGGGACTAATAAATATACAATACATTATATCTAAGTTTTTTTTGGATTTTATACATACGCAAGTGGCATATATTCCTGAAAATTAATTCTAGTATTTTTGAATTTTTACCCGACTAACAGAAAATGAAATCATATTTGATTGGGTAGTAGGATTAGCTTTTATTCAGAAAAATCTGAACAAACTAACCTATCCCCCTTCTGTCATTCACGGCAAACGACAAGCTGCTCTGGGGTTTAACAGTGAATGTGAATTTAAATGTTATAACACAACCTTGGGTTTTCAGTTTGATTTGAGGAGTTGTCTTTAGAATTCTGCATGGTAGAATTGCAGAAAGTAGTGCGAGATGAATTGTCAGTCAGCCGGTGCAATGCCCTCATGGCTTAGCAGTTTGCACACTCAACATGAGAGCAGTCTCAACCGCCGCGTACCATTAGTGTTCATAATAATTTCGTGGTTATTTCATTTCCACGCCAGTTCGACTTGTTAATATAAGCAAAAGTTCAAAAGCAAATGCTATATATGCAACTTATTTGCTGTTGACTGCGGTGCAGCTTTTATTGTGTCACAATAATGCACAGGTTGTTGAGTCAAACTGGAGTGCTGGTTGACGTCGATGAATCAAATATTAGCATCTCATATCTATCACGCTGCATCAATGCATCATTGATTAATTAGAATGGTTTGTGAAGAGATATTACATTTTCAGAAAAAACTTGCTTAAATAACTTTACCTTGGGAAAAAAGTTCACAAATTACTTACATAACACGTATGGATATATGGATATGTATAACTGATAAATGTTTCCTTTTCCAAGTTATTTTCACTAACTTTGCGTTGTAGACAGGTCTTTTGGTTTATAGTGTCTCATTAAATTTGAACGCATTTCTGGACAAGTAAATCCCACTCTGATTCCTTTTTGTGCAGTGTTGTCAAAAGTGCAATCATTATTATTAATTAGTTTCTGTATTTGTCAGGTTGCCCAGAAGTGAAGACTGAAGTGATCTCACTCTCGAGCGTGGCGAACGCTGCCAGCATGACATCGACGACCTCAGGTATGAGTAAAGATCAAAGTGGTTCCTCCTCCTCCAGCAGTGGTGGACCGGGAGGAGGATCTGGGACAAGCAGTAACATTTCCGGAAGAAGTGGAGCGACAGCGACAGACAGCTTACGGCAACACTTGCAAGGGAAACTTCAAGCCAAGGCTGGAAACAACTCGTCATCATCAACTTCTTCCTCATCATCGCCACCACAACCATTGCATCCCACGTTACCCTCGTCATCATCATTGGGACCAAATAATTCATATTCGTCTAAATCTGATAATCCTTTGTCGAAAGCAAAGAGTCCAAATCAGAAGCGAAGTCGTTCAGATAAAAGTCAAAAGTCCACATCCTCTTCCAAACATACCAAGGGGACAAAGGAGAAGGAAAAGTCAGGATTTTCCCAATCAATAAAACCTCAAAGTCCTAATCGTACTCAAAACTCGAATAGCAGCACGACAACGACTACCTTGACTATCCCTAGCATTGGAGCAGGAGGAAATGGAAATGGTCAATCCAATGTTCGTGGTGTGAGGTTGGGCCCAGGCAATATTCCTGCTACTACAACTGCTGCTAATGATTTGCCCTCAAACGAGATCACTAATAGCTCAAGTGGAAGTAATTATGCACCTAGCTGTGGGAAAAGTAATTCTGACTCTTTGAACATTGGTGGTGGTGGTAGTAGTGGAAATAGCAATAAATCAGTGCCAGACTGCTCCACAGTTGTGGTGGTGAAAAGTGGTGGTGGTGATGCAAGTAGTGACGGTGCTACTGCGACGAGCCCTGCGACTCTGGACAAAGTGACTTGTTCGATCAAAAATGCAGAGACAACAAGCTCATCAGTGTCCATTGGGGAAGATTCGGAGACAGTTGAGGAGATATCGATTACCGAAAAAGGAAAGAAAGAGCCGGTCAGGGGACTAGCATGGAAAGAAACCTCACAAGGCGTCTACATTAGATATAAAAGTTTGGCTGATGGAGTGGTCTACAAACCAGGAGGTATAATTTCACTTTATTCTATTTTATATTGGTTTTAGGTTGTTGCGCTCAAAATTCGAGAGAATAACCTTCTTATTCTTCTCGTCGCTTCATATCTTTTGCCCACACGTACACATATTGTCGAGCAGCATATGATCTTTGTCCCCTCGTCAGTTCCCCTTTCCTCTCTAGAATTCGTGGTCCAATAAATGGATACGGTATGAAATGTCTTCGCCCATGCTCAACCAAAGTCTCATGGACAGAAGAGCATTATGTTTGAATTACTTTTACTTGACAAGTACTATGTAATGTAAGTAGCATGGAAGAGTTGGACGTATCAACAATAATTTGAATCTTTGACCATCATTTAAAAGTCGAACGGTTGTTACAGGGTTCCAATTCGGCATACAAATGCAATTATAAATATGCAACTGATGGGAAAGCAGAGGCTCTCTTTTAAGGCTTCACAATGGAGGGTTCGTCCCCTCTCTCCCCCTTTTTCTGGGCATCTACTACTCTAGTACATGATAATACAAGTTGGAGGAATGAATCCCCTCTCTTTCTGCTATGCTGCTGCTTCGTCTTCCTTTCCTTCCATGTTTCTAGTTTCCTTCCACGATATGTTCTGTCTATTTTGCTGCTATATACCATATCTACTAGCCGAGCTCCCTCTCCTTCCTTCCAGCTGCGTGTTTAAGTCACGGCTCGTATCTTAAAATAATGAACTATTGACAAAACTCTAAAGCAATCTTCAATCTTCCCCCAATCTATCAATTATCGTCTAACCCTCGTCCTTTTAATAGATCTGCAATGTGGTGGTAGACTGATATGATATGGTAGCCTGCTCAATACTCCTCCTCCTCGGAAACAGGTTGACGTTGAAATTTGCAGATCATTTTTTGCACAAAAAGTAGACACCTAAAGCAATATGTAAACCAATCACAGAACTTGGGGTTACTTTAATAGAAAACTACTCCACTATCATCAAATGTACTTATCCTTAATTGTATAGCTCGGCTCAACTATGATGGTTTTAAAAAGCACGCTAATAAATTTGTTCGTTAGTATGAATTATTTGAGAGGAGTATTTAGGAGGACGTAACAGCTAGCTGTTATAATAAAGAAAGATACATAATATGTAATGCATGTTATGTATCTGCTTTTGAGGTGTGAATAATAGCAATCACCAGAGACAATGGGAATTTATAAAACTGAACGGAAAGGAAAAACTTTATTATTTGCTCAACTTATCTGTAAAGCGAGCCATTCGTCAACTTATTTTCTGCCATGTCCTCAAAATCATTCTGGATTTGAGAAATGCAAACCTCGACCAAGCAAAGGTCTTGTGCCTGGTAGTATATTTAGTGGCTGGGTGACATTGCAATGCAGCATTGCACAAAGTCCTCTGGATACTATACGACAAGAGACTTCACTCACGCCTTGTAAAAACAAAAGTTTCTTTTCATCTCAACTTTGTTCTTTTTGAGGTAAAGTAGATTTATGTAGCAAGTAAAACGAGAGTTTTTGTCCTATCTTGAGATCCATACGTGTTTGTCTCACCTCTTCTCATATATATCCTCTCATCTTCCTTCTCGACGAGTCTCCTCGCTCTCTCCTCAGCCGAATCAACCTTACCCACATATTACGCCACTACTCACTTGTACATGGAGGTGGGATTGTGGAATAGCGTAGTATGCTATGCATGCATATAGAGTAGAATTTTTTGAATAGGCAGAGGAGGGAGATAAAGGACGGATGGAGGTGGCTTAGCCAGTGTAAGATCTTTTATGGATTAGATTTGTTTTCATATAATTTAACTCCTTCTTCTCGGTCTGCTGCTGATATTCTCAGAGGGAGCTTGCCCCGGTGAATACTTTGCAATTTTTGAGATCAACCCAGAAGAATTAGCTAAAATTTCTATAACAAAATCATAGTTTAGTTTACTCCTTGTTTTAGCTTGCATGACAAAATTTGCATGTCGGAAATAGATTTCATTTCGTCATGCTTGACTGGACTGAGATTATCAGCGTGGTGGAATGGAATCCATAATCGGAAGCCATAATACATATTAAATACTACATTTGAATCATCTTATTATCGTCGTTGGCATTTGGCTGATTTTACTTATATTCCCAATTCTTCTTACAACACTAGCGCCCATTAACAGGTAACAAAGGATGATGCCAAAGTGTGTCCTGATAAGGAGCTAACCCACAAAACTGCTAAATTGAGTTTGAGAAATGAATAATGTACACCTTGAATTGTGAACCGTAATTAAAGAGTGAGTGAATGATGGTGATAGCGGCAGGTATGTAGTATAATAGGCACTGTACTCTGTTATTGTTACAGCAGCAGCAAGCGTTCTCGTATGTACCGACATTAGAAGCAGGCAGGACATTATTCTTACTTTGTTGCTGCTAGTGTATTTAGTAGGAGAGGAACTTGTGTGCATGCAGCATGATGTGCATTTTATAAACTTTAACCTCACTGTCGATAATTACTTGTGAACAGAATAAAATAATTATCTTTCCGCATTAAATATTAAATATCTTTCCGACTGCGGTTGCCAATGTGAATTAAGATTGAGGTCAAAGTAAAATTATTCCTATAAATTGTAATCCATATTTGCTGATTTGTCTTGCTTCTGTCAAGTATGTATTGCTCGATTGGGGTATACACTTTTTTGTCCAATATCTATATCATTCATGTGCATCCTCTCTCCACATTTATCCATTTCATGGGGGGTATCAGTTGCAGTAATACCAATTTTAATGAATAATCGATTAATTCGAATAGGCTTATTTTGAATTTCTATACATAGATTCCGACCAAAGGTAAATGTAAGATTACAGTTTTGTGTTTCCTTTCTTATATTTCCAAGAAATTGTTTTTAATGGCTGTATTAAGGAATGGGGAAATGTATTGAATTACGGATTACGAAGCAAACCAAAGTGAGTGAGTGAATGGTATTATTGGGGAGCAGAAGAAGAGGCATCAGGGCAAGGTGGCCATAGCGGCTGGTTGTTTGGCTGGGAGTAAACACAAGAGAAAGAGAGATTGGAAGTTCGGGAGAAAGCACTGAGCCATTGATTTTTTCCGGTCTTTACCTTTCCTCCTGCTTCACAAGCCTCTCTCCATCCTCTCCCATCTGCTGCTGCTCTTCAGCCACCTCGGCATTTTCCATTCACTTGTTACAAACTTGTTTTATCATCTTGGCACTGCGGTACAATTTAGTTTATATTTGCTTGTGCTTCCTGAGAGCAAATGTCTCGTGGTCTCTCTCTCTCTCTGAACTTTTCGTCTTAAGTATTACATTATTTCCTATCGTTATGATCTTAGCCAACGTGATTTCAGATCCAATTCCTCGTTAAACGGATTATTTTGTTAGGGTGTGAAATTCTTTAGTTGAGCCTCAGGACAAAAGGTGTTCATGACTTATTGTCGTCGGATATCTGCAATGGTATTAAACTGCTACTTTTCCGCATGGTCGAACTTACTTGTCGTCGATGCTTTATTTAGAACTTGTTTATTGTTAAACTAACACGCTTAACCAATGATGACTGTAGTTTTTGTTACAAAAACCGTGCATTTGCAAAACCAATGGTTGATCATCTCCATTTTGCGATGATATGGATGAATTGATTCGTAGTCGATTCTATGTACATTATTTATTGCCTTGTTAATTATTTTGCAGTTATTATTCCGAGACGAAAAATTGTGGAACCAATATTGACAAGGAACCTATTTTACCCTCTAGTATCTATTTGGAGCAAAAGTTGCTGTGTATTAATGCAATTTTACTAAAGTTATTCAATCCGAGAGTGTAGCAGGGAGCCGACAGCGGTTGGAAGAGGAGGACAATTCAAAGAAAGCACATCTTCAGCGCTTAGAAAAGGCTTACCTTTTTCCCAAAAGCTAGTCTACAGAAAGATTTATATGATATAAGTTAAGTAGTTATTGGTCGATTGAAGACAAGCCATTCGATGAGGCAGGAACAGAAGCATTTATCATCTGCAAATCGAGAAATCTGCCTCAGCTATTTTCCTCCTCCTTCGCCATCGCCTTCTTCCGCCCAAGGAATGTTTAAATATAAAAAAGTATAAATGCCGATAAAGCTCTTGCCTGGTTCTGGCTCTGCTCCGTCTTCTTCTGGCTTTTCTCCCAACTTTCCGCTTGAATTTGATTGAGCACGGTTGAGTGGTGGCATATGTGTCAATACTCTTTTCTCTCCCATTGTTGTCACCGTTTATGCGTGGAGACTGCTTAACCATTTTGCCCAAACCAGAGGTCCTTCTATATATTTTCCTAATCCAATACAATCTTCTTGGATAAGCTCCCAAGTCGATACACGGATATATACGTTTATAGCTGAGTATCGAGCATCCCCACCTGCAAAGTGACCTCCTGGCATGCTTAAAGAAGAAAAAAAAATACTGACCAAACCTGGCCGTTATCATAATTGTCCTACTAGAATCAATTTGCTTGGTTTTCATGATGAGCTATTTGCTAGTGAGCCTTCTAGCTAATTTTACTAGGTACTCTGCAATCAGAAAACAGTACGCTGCAAATTTATTTAATCAACTGAACAGCTCAATGGCTCAATGCATCAGTATGTTTGTGATTAACCAGTATTTATTTATTATGCTTGCATTTGAAATATTTGCCACTTGAAGTTCTTATGATTTATGATGTGAACTCGAGTGGCTATCCCATTCATTGAAGGCTATATCCCAACTTTTTTGCACAACTCTTCACATTTTCCAATTATACCTCATGATGTGTAATGTGTCCAGACAGTGTGTGCCAACTAATTACTATAATAAACTAAGATTCAAACAAGAGAGTAGCAAGTGGTAGAAGAAACAAGGTGTTTCACTAATTTAAATCTCGGAGTTTTTTTCTGCCAGAACCTACATATACATATAGCGGCCTAGCGGGATATAATCATCGCTGCTCATACATATTTACATACATATTTAATTATTGTGTGAATTTTCAAAATCAAATAATTTATAGGATGAATTTTACGTTATTTGTATCGACTTTAGAATTAATTTTTATTTTTATGATTCCTCCAATTAAGATGCTGTCTACATTGAGAGTCAAAGAGCTGATCTCCCCTTCTTCATCTGCTCCATTGTCGAATTCAAACGGGTAAGTTGAAACTTTTCCTTCTTCTCCTCCTTTTCCCATCATTCCACGTTACATATAATATTATTACATGCCATTTGCAAGCGTTGCTGGTTTCCAAATTTTAATGTAAACGCCAAACCCTAGCTTCTTGCATAAACTGTCAATTTACCACATTTACATGCACTTTGCAGCAACAGCAGTATGTACGTACGTAGTAGTGGGTTAAATTCTGGTGTGAGTAAACTAGATATGTAGGTGTTTGTTGGTTGGAGTTGAAAAGTTCAGTCATGGCTAAAGTACATAATCTAGTCCGCAGGTCAGAACGGCGGAGTGAAATTATTATGGAACCCGAGCTCCCGAACTTATGTTAAAAGCAAATACTAAATGAATCACGAGTCACAATAAGATGGTGAAAACGTGAGTGCACCCTATGTAACTGAATAAGTGACGCCATAAAAATAATATGCGAGTTATTGTCATTACTTGCCATCAATTTAACATCTAGTCATAATTAGTTAGTGGGAAGGGCAACACAGCTTATTACTCGGCGACATCTACGTTGCTGGCATTACTTGGCTAAATGGTAAAACTAAGGAATTGTAAAGTTGGTTATGCATACTATCTTTTACGAGCTACCCGACATAGATGTCCAGAACTTGGAATTTAATATTGAGGTTGAATTTGGCCTTAATCATAATAAATAATGAATTAATTGCAGTGAACCTCATGTTCAAATACGGTTTATTAAAGATAGCGTAGCACAGGTTCATTAATGCTGAAACTAATGACGGTATATTTCGACTGTGTCGTGATTGATATTTTTAATTTTGTCAATAGTTGCATTCATGCAGGCCAAGAATGATGGTAAAGTCAAAAGTTGTGAATTGAGGTTTATCTGCTATGGAATAATAGAGAAGAATAAGTGTGTGTGTGAAATTGTCTGTTGGCTGCTGGTTTATAATTCTGCGGTACTGTTAACTATTTAACAAATGATGATGTTGGTTGTGCAAAGTTGAAGTTGTGCGTTAGTTAGTAAGTAATAGCTGATGGTGGTGATGGCGAATGCTTACATATAGTTTCCTTCTCACTGCGATACTACATTGAGGTACACCATGGCACTTCATCACTGTCTTCTTGTCCTTATCAGCATGACCATTAGTATTTGTTACCATTGTGAACTGCATCACACAATAGATTCGGCAAGCCTTTCCCTCGTAAAGACAAATTGAGTTTTGTTTATTACTCTGCTAGGTAAAACCACTTGGTTGTCGAAAAAATTTGTGTTTTTTATGGAATTCATCCGAACAACAAAAAAATCATCTTGTCGAGGTGTGATGCAATAGTGTACAATATATAGTTTCATCTATGTACTTTATGTGATCTGTGTGCTTCTTTTGTACATACATACGATCAGAACACACAGAGTGTGGAAAATCATCAAATTGTTACAATTATTTTGATAGCTAAAGACACTTTTTTAACGACAATTCAGAAACAAGTGCTAGACTTTTCAGGAACATACATGAGCAAAGCCAAGTGGCAAGTAGTTCCATATGAGAAAGACGTAATTATACCTAACACGCTGTCTGCTAATCACATCAAGCATGCATATGATATGAGTAAATAGTTAATGGCACAGTGGTTAGATATAATTTTTATTAGGTGGAAGAAGCAAGTTTAAGAGGATGGAGGAAAATGAAGGAACGGGCAGTTTGACTTGTTCTTCATTCTAATGTCATCATCGGGATTTCGGGATAAACAACAACACTTGATCCCTTGCTTCTCAAAATATCGTCTTCGTGCTGTCCTCTGTCCTTCCTTTGACTGGTTGGCGCTGTCGACTTTACACAAAGTTGAGAACTCGAGTCGACAGCAAAAGAACAAATTGTCGTTTGGTTTTGTTTTGTCGTGCTTGTTGGTCCATACTGATACTGAATGAGATAGTTTACTTGAGAATACAGTCTAGTCATTCTTTTGTTTGGAGATCCCACAAGCACTGTAGTAGTCGAGTGTACAACAAAGGGAAGACTTGCATCTCTTCTTCTCTCTCCTCAAAGAAGAAAACACGATTCGTGTAAAGAAATGGTGCAATATAACTTGGCCATTTGTATTTCTTTCTAGATAAATAGGCAAGACTTCTTCTCGACTTGTCACTCAGAGTTCCTCTTTTTCTCTGCCTCTGCTATGTTGAAGGAGTTTTTTATTTATTATTTTACTAGTAAAAGGCAATGGAGCCAAAATAAAAGTATGCATACATGAATGTCTTTGATGAAAAGCGTGTGTTCCATTAATGCAGATTAATGTGTTTGATGTATTAATTAAAGCTTCATTAACTTTGTACGAATATTGCTCCAATTAGCAATTTGTCTTTTTTCTCTCATTCTGTCTTTAATTGTAATGCTCGCTTTTAGTTAAAGATAACGAACAGTCAATAATAGACAGCGATGCATGCATATGTATTTACTACGGGTGTAGCTGCCGTATAGCTTTATATTGTTTACCCCCACGCCCATCTGACTTGATTCGCACATCCCATTAAATAGTGTCAAAATTTTTATACAAGCGACGATTATTTAGATTCAATTAAGAAACTGTTCACTTTATAGGTAAATTTTTGTGAGACACGAACGTGGTTATTTATTTGTATTCATTCTTTCGATGTTGAACTGATGTAATCATCAGAAATATTATTGCATATGTTTAACAAGATTTCGAGTTCCATCCTACATGCATAAAATCACAATGTTTTTTGAGTAAGTGAGGCTGAAAATGCAGGATAGTCCTGAAATAAGAAATTACTTACCATGATAATCTATTGAACTTGAGCTGTGCACAGTGCAGCATGCATTATATCATCCCCGGATTCAAGCACGAATGTCAATTAATTCGTTCCTTTTATCGTGATTGAATTTCTAATTGAGTGTAGAAACAGCAACAGCCGCGTCGTAATTATCATCGGAACTGTTCTCTGTAATTTCTTCTGATTTTTTTAAGAGTAGGAGTTGAAGTTTGTTGTTGGGTATATACATGCATTCGTACATATGCATGTACATACGTTGTAGAATGTTTCATAACCTAATTAACGTTAAAAGCTGGGGGTGGAAAGAGAAATATGAATATATTTATATACATGTGTGTACGTGTGTATACGACAGACAGCTATGGATTGCATGAGAGGAAGGGCTGTCTCAACACACAAGTTAATAACAATGGGGTATTATTTTGTAGGATGGTAATCGTGAATTAGATAGGCAGGCAGGCTGTAATATGGTCGTGGATGGGTTATTCTTCTGCTGAGCAGGTTCCCTTTTGCCTGCGTTTTGAGGATGACGGTAAAAAATGGTAGGTTGATGGAGCAGATGCTTTGGTCGCCTTAAAATGTTAAATTGGTTTACTCGTATTGCTGAATTCGAGGATCTGCAGGATGATATGGTGATTATGATGCGAGTAATTTCTCCATGCCATAAAAGCATTTAGCCAAACGCAATGCATGACAATAAAAGGCGATATCCACCTCATGTGCTTTATTTCAATTGAATGTTCTCAACATGAATGTTTGTTCTCAAGATTTCGTTTCCGGGCAAGTGCGCAAATATTAAATTTACAAACTAATAGTATCTAACGGGTATGTATGTAAGAAAATATATACATCATGCAAATTTTAACTTTAAACTCAATGAAATATATGCTAACATTGCAGTTCTGAGAACAATGCAAGTTAAATTGTTGTTAAAAAGTGATTCGAAGAGGTTAAGCAGACTGTCAGAAAGTCGGGCGACGGTGTGTTTTGTAAATTCTGTGGCAGAGTTGACAAGGAGAAGTAAGCATAAGATATGTAGCTTCGGATCCATTTCGACGAGCTTTTCTCCGTGTGAGGTTGAATCTTTTCTCTTTGGGGCGTTTGTTCCCGCAGAAGCAGCAGCAGCACATCTTCTTCTTTTATCATGTAAGCTAAAGCTTCCATAAACCATCCATCTCTATTACTTGTGAGAGAGAGAGGGAGTCAACTTGAGTTGCCCTCTGCTGCACTTTCTCACTCACAGCCTCCTTCCTCTTTTTACGTCCTCTATTCTCCAAAGTGTCTCCAAATTGAAGAATATTTGCATTTCAAGCTCATGATCGCTCATGTCACTCCTCATCGTTACTCCACCAGCTTTTTTTACTACTGTGAGGTGAAAGGTGTCGTAGGTAAGGTGCCGGACTTGGATATATTTAGCTACAAAGCGTGTAATAATGGTGAAAATTTGATAGCACGATTTTGCATCTTATTCTCACTTACCTAATTCAAACTCGCAGATTTGCTGCCCCCATTATTACCGATTGCAAATGCCGACTCTGTCAATTCTATTAATCATGCAGCAGTGGAATGTATTATGCTATGCATCATGATTAAATATCTTAAATCAGTTAAATCAAAGTTGGAAATTGAAGATGTTCCAAATCATATCAAATTCCAGTAGGTTTGAGGAACAAATTTGTCGATTCATATCACCTTTCACGCATCTCAATAACATCAGCTTACATACGATATAACTAAATATTAGATTTTTTTAGATGCTCTCTTGTTACTTGTGCAAGTACAAGGCACATTAATTTAACAGAATCAAAAAATCATATTTTATTTCTACAGCAGAAAATATGGTGCATATGGGATCGGAATGGATTGTGGCTGAGAGAAGCGATGAAGGCTTTGTGTTGAGCACAAATAATAAAGCAATGCTCAATACTTTGCTTTGTGTTTTGTGTAAATTGCGTGGTGGTTGTGTACAAGAGACGAAAGAGCGAGAGAGAGAGAGGAGCTAAGAAGAATGAAAGGATTGAGATTTAGGAATTGAATAGCCTTGCAGAAAGAGAATACGAATGAATAGTGAGAGCATCATACCTCACGGTTTTAAGCCAGCCATGAGCCAGTGCAGTAGTTGGTGGAGTTGATGTGACAGTTTACTTTATGAGATAACCTGATCCCACAACATGTTTTTTTGAAAATTTTATTTCATAAATTTCATTTATGAAAATTTATT